GCTTTCTTGTTCTCTCTCGTTGATTGTATTCCACTCTAAACTGGAAAGAAGGTCCTTGAGGGGACAGAAACATTGCTTCCAATCTCAGGTCGCCATCAGTAGTGCTCTAGGCTGTCACAATGAATTCTTCCCTCTAGCCCCAGAGATGCACCACACTGTGAGTCCTGGCTGCTCTGGGACTCCTTTGCTGTTATTGATCTTTGTGCATGACAAAGGGGGCAGATGGAGGGCCACGGAAGAGGCTGAAGAGCAGGAGCCAGGCAGAGGACACAAGTACAGGGGCTGGGGGTAGAGGAGGGGCCCCAGGGGCTCTAGAAACATTAAAACAGGTAGGAAGAGTGTCCAGAACAAGAACAGAAGATAGGAGTCATGAAGAGTGGACAGAGGGATCCGGGGGACCCTAAGGCAAACCCTGCATCAAGGTAGAGGCTGGATTTGATTCCGGGTGCTCTGGAAAGCTGTTGGATAGTTTCCCAAAGCCTCTTCATGCTGCTGTGTGGACAGCTGTCTGCAGTGGGGACAGGGAGGGCCACAGGAGGATGAGGAAAGGCTAGGGTCCATTTGAGAGAGACCATGGCCTAGATAAGGTATGCCCTTGGTCATGGAGAGAAGCAGATGCACTCGAGACCTAGGCCAGCACAGAGCTGGGGAGGGCAGGGAGGAAACCAAGCTCTCAGGACTGTCGGGTGCTCTCCAGGCCTGATCAGGGATTCTCGAGGTAGAATGGAGGGTGATGTCCAATCTGTTTGGAAACCAGGAGTGGTAAATGGACTATGGCTCTGTGTGGTGTCCTGGGAACCTTGTGTATCTCCATGTAGGCCACCTATACAAGGTTCCACTACAGTCTGGACCAGTGCTTTACCATTCCCCCTGGAGTAAGGGAAGAGATGCTGAGTTAAGAAACCACTATAAGCTCTTAGCATCCACATTCCTAGTTTTGGTTGTGGGCAGGGCTTTCTAATACATATATACACACCATCACCATCACCACTACCACACCCACCACCATCACCAGTCCCCCACCACTGCTGTTGTTACCACTACTACCACCCCACCATCACCACCACCACCATTAACACCACAATCATTACAATGATCACCACCACCACCACCACCACTTAAGGTTTAGTTGCAGGCTACAAATTTTCCTGGTTATAATTTGGAGGTTAGGTAACCCATACCCATACTATGGCCTGGTCCCTCAAGTTCAGTCATACGGTGGGACTAGGGCCTTGGAAGCTGACGTCATGCTCACCTTGTGCTGTCTTTGTAAATGACAAACTGTCTGAGTCCACACAGAGTCACTTTTTCTTTGTTGGCTGGGTCCACAGAGACGTGCCAAGTCTACCAACAGCTATAGTAGTGTTAGCCACCACCCTTGTCACGTGGGCACTGTGCTGGACAAACTGGCACCAGTGCAGTTGCAATGCCTTTTTGGAAAAAAGAGAAGAGGCCACACCAACAGAAGAGGCCACACCAAGAGGCCTGCCAAGCTGATGGCTGAGAAAATCCTCCCAGGATTCCATGGGCTTGCCCCGTAGAGTGGGTGGGAGGAGGAGGGCAGAGTCCTCCCCAGGTCCCATCGATGGAGGAATGTTTGCAGGCTGCAGAGCAGAGCTGTAACCAGCCACACTGCCCTGCCTGAGATCCAGAGCTTCCCTGGGCTTTGAAGGATCTTCACTGAAAGCTGCTGAGGGTCCAGCAGAGGGAGGTAGCATCTGGGGCTGGAAAGAGAGCCGCTCAGCCCATCGCTACCCTGGTTGCAACGATTTCAAGTATCAGTCAGCTCCTGACTGCAAGGAAGTCCTCCCAGTGGGCAAGGCCATGGTGTGGACAGTGGGACAAGTGAATTCTGGAGAAGGCTCCTGGATTCCCTGGCCCAGCTGCATGATGGCAGGGAAGTACCTGCTGGTCTTCACAGGGTGTCTCTCTTCTTACTCCAGAGGAAATTGTACAGAACACAAGGTGAGGCTGGGAGTCACTACACTCACTAAAGGGCAGGTAGAGGCAGACATGATGGAAGGAACTTGTTGACAGTGTACACAGCATTCCCTCTCAGGCCTTAATGTCTTATGGAGCCTTCAAAAATCACCAGGGTCAGTGATAATTATGCAAACTAGACAACAGACAGCTGTCAGCACTCAGCCAACGTGCCCCCTTGTGTTTGGAGTGCAGCAACTGCCTAACTCATACTGCTCAGGACACTCAACTTAGGTAACTGAGCATAGGAAGATACTTGAGAGATCAGCTTTCCACATATTGTGACTTCCAGGCATCCTTATTAAGAGGAGGCTGCAGGGGAAACCCAATAAGGTAGGTTTCCGGGTACAGCCATTCCAGGGTGAGGTCTGAAGAACACTTTAGGTTCTCTGCAGACTTCAACACAGCAAGTTCCCCAAGGGTGCCCAGGCCTGATTCACAGATCAGCTATATCAAAAGGCCTACCAAGACTGCAGTCACAGACCAAAACTATATTGTAATCATCAACCTTACCCAGCTGTGAACCCTGTGAGCTACAATAACAACTGGCCTGGCAAGGAAGGCCCACTGGTGCAATAGTAGCATGAATGTTAAGGAAATAACCAACCACTTTCTGCTTAGATTTAAGGCCTGCTTCATAAGATGGAACCCACACCTGGCACCAGGGGATGGGCTCACACTGAAGAGCATTTGCAGAACACAAATTAGACTTTATAGGCCTTTAAAAAGTAATAATAGAGGAAATGAAGTCAGGGGGTAAGGGTGGAGATGGGGGAGGGAGTCTGAATATGATCAAAATACATTATATGAAATTTTCCAAAAAAATCAATTAAAAAAAACTATATCAAGGGGAAGAAAAACCTCTACCCTATGAGGAACAGTCTGTAATATTTGTCCTGGAAATGCTCCTTTCAGACACAACATACCAAGAAGCAGCCTGTAGTCAGTGGGCTGACAGTGTGGATAAGCACCTGATAATCAAGCCCAGATGATCCAGTCCCAACCCATGCAGAGACAAACATGACAGCTACAGATGGCACAGGCCTATCTTCTGTTCATGCCATGTAGGGATGCCATGGAAAAGGAGCCTTTGTCAATGAGCATCAATGGAGGCATCAAGCTGATCAATTCTGCACAGCTCAGGCAGCCACCTGTATATCTGATATACCTGTACACAGGCATAGCAATCTGTCTGTGCTCAGACTAGGCCAAAATCCAGCACAGGAGGCCCAGGAAGCCTGGTAAGTGTGCTGGAATGCCAGATCCACAACCATCGAGGAAGGACGGCATAGTCCAATACCGGCCAGCCATGGGAAACAGACTTGTTGACTCCTCAGTCTCCCAGCAGCGCAGTACTGTACACACCTTTTTCTAGAAATGACACAATTCTCATTTACAGAGTGAAGGGAAGTGTGTTTCTAATATTACTTCTTCTGAATACAAGGCTCTTGCCCCTCTCATAGCTAAGAGAACCATCAGTGGGCAGTTATCTGGGCATTTGTGAGCCATTTCATGCCGTCACCCACAGGCAGGAGGTACCATTAAAAGATGAAATGGGGAGTGGGATATGGGATGCTTATCAATAGTTGTTGTACAAACATGAGGACCTGAGTTCTCACCCCAGCATCCACTCAGAAAGCTGGGTATAGAAGGGCACACCTGTGATCTCAGCACTGGGATGACAGAGATAAGAGAGGGGTCTCTTGGGCTTTCTGACTAGCCAGTCTAGGTGAATTGGTGAGTTCAGGGTCAGGGAGAGACCCTGTCTCAAAAACAAAGGTGAAGTGTGATCAAGGAAGACACCTGACGTCAGCTCTGGCCCCCACATGTGTGCATACACACGTGTAAGTACACCCCTACATGTGTGTGTGCACACACATACATATATGGACATATAAAAAGCCTAATAAATAAAATAGACTATAATTTTGATCCCCAGAAAAGAAGCGTACAAATAAAACATTCAATCATAAGGCAGGAGGGGGACTCATATATCACTTAGATCGAAGAGACCTGAACTACATAGCTCAACTTCTAGTCTTCCCTCCCCAACTTCAGGCCTGTACCTCATCTATGAGATGGGGTACAGTTCTGGAGCCCTACAAAATCTGGGAAATTACAGGTATTGATGACAACAGTCATGAACTCTAAAGACTGTCCTACTTGCATGGCCCACCTGTCAACCATGGGAGGCGTTCTAGGATAGTTAGTCATCACCTATGAAAGAATCCACTTGAAGAAGCCATCACTGGGGTGGGTCTGGGACTGACTGCAGATGAGCCTTCTGAGGCACCAAATACAGGTGGCCACCTGATTTCTGTGAGAAACTGCCCACTTCCATTTGTCAGTCACCTTCCTTCCTCTCTATTGCCTCTCTATCACCTGTTGATTTTGTCTTAAGGATCTGCTACAGCCCTGGCTGCTATTGGAATCTCCCAGGACACAATTAAAACCCTGTGAACTCACAAGGACCAGAGATCCCAGTTTAGTGTTGAGTGAGGCCCAGCAGGAGGACGGGTAGCAAGGTTTTGTCACAGCTGAACTGTGTCACAGGCACTTAGAGCTACCTGGAAGGGCTGGGCAACAAGAACTAGAGGAGAATAGCTGAAGAGGATTGTTGCCCACAGTGGCTGCCATGTCCAGGGTACACACGGATATCTTTGCTCCATCAGTTTTGGCCTTCCTAGGACCTTCCTAGGAATTCCACAAGTTTCTGGCCGAACTCAATCAACTTCAGGCCCTTTGTTCATGCTGATACCTTTGGTGGATCCAGCCAGAGAAAGCCGCTCTTTGCTTCCTCTGGAGATGGCAGTGAAGGGAAACCACTGGCTCTGCCACACATTGCTCCATATCATCTGAGAGGCTCTGGAAGTGCTCTCTCTGAGGCTCCCAGGGGCCTTAGCCCAGCCTTGGATGTGTGTGGGCTTTTCTTAGCATCTCTCTCAGCCCTTTCCACACACGCTGAGACCTGTGTTGCTAAGGGGCACACCCAAAGCAGTGAACAGTGACACAGAGGGAGGGACTGTGATCAGACTTGTTTATGGCCCAGCTCATAGCAGCAGGTCCCAATGCAGAGTTGTGCCCCCACATAAAGACATCTTTATCCCCATGCTTCACCCCTGGACCACTTCAGAGCATATTCCTGTTTCTTGTTGTCACTCATTTTCTGTTGGGGCAGCAGAAGGCCCTGGAGTCACCTGGCCCAAACCCCTTAATGTGGGGAAGAGAAACTGAGTCCCAGCAAGGTTGAGGTCCTGCACTAAAACCATTATTGAGTTATGATCTGAGCTCCCAACCCTGAAGACTCCTGAGCCAGAGGTGCTCATCTGTCAGGGCCCAGGCTGGCCTTGAGTGTTCCAGCTGTGCCTCACACAGCAGGCCACAGAGGTCACAGGGAATGTCATTTATGGGCCGCCTGCAGTCTGTTATCTGTGAGGGAAGCAAAGTCAGGTAAATGACCCCTGTTGTTTACATCCCATGACTTCAGCAAGGGTAGGGCTGCCAGAGGCCACCCAGAAGCCTGGCATGGAGCTAAGGTTTTCTTGCCACAAGGGGTCATCCTCCCCAAGAGGCCAACTCCACCCTGAAGCCCAGCTGGGAAGAAGGCAGGTCCCCAGGAGAATACTCATGGGAAAAGGTCCCAATAAACCGACCCTTCTGTAGCTTGGGATTTCTGGCCAGGAGTGGAGAAAGAGAAATGAAATGAACAGTGCCATGAGAATTTCCATTTCAGCCCAAAGAACAGAATGAAACCAGACTTGGGGAAGGAAGGGCTCCAGAGCTCAGCCAGCCAGACAGGAAGCTCTTTGGGAGCCATAACCGCACCATCACATGACATACAGCCTTGAGACTTGATGGTTCTGGAGTAAGCCTCAGACAAAGGGAAGCCAGGGCTCCTCCTGACCCTAGGGTGCTGCTGCAGGGGACAGGATTATCGGAGCCTGGACCAGAGGCCATGGGAGAGCCATCAGCTTCAAGGTCACAGCTGCCAGCCCTCACCCTCACCTCAGTTCAAGCAGTGGCTAGGTATTTCCCTGCAACAAGCAAAACGTCATCTACTTTGAAAGCTGTCTGTGCAGCTTGCCCTGCCCTCGACCTAGGCAGCAGGGCACAGGTGGATGGTGCTCAGTCCCTGAAAGTCCATGGAAGTTCACGTGGTCCCTCAGCACTGTGCTTGGTCCAGGAGTGGCCGTGCTACCAGAGCTCCCTGGAGTCCCAGTGGCCAGGCAGATGGCGTAGCCTCATGTCTTCTTTTTGGATGTGCTCATAACAGGACTGGGGAGAGAGGCAAGGTTAGAGCTGTCTGGCAGGCCGGCTCCCAACTGTGCTCGTGGGCTAATGGCCCAAAGGCCATCGCACCCACCTCTCTGTGTACACAGTACATAGTTGGGACTTGCTGTGAGTCACTTTTAAGGGGAAATGGGGCTTCCCTCTGCTGCTTGGAGCTGCTGCCTGAGGGTTACGAGGCTGCCCTACCTTCTGAGCAAGGGCGATACCAGGGGTCTGTGAGGACCCTTTCTATGAAGACACACAAGGCTGAGATTTGAGCTCATGTCACCATGGTATCTGGAACAGCGAGAGCATTTCCTTCAGCTCACAGCACCCATCCCTCACCTCTAAGGCTGTGAGCAGGAAGTCATAGAGGCCTCCTGTGTGGATGGGGTTCATCATGTCACGGATGAGATGGATCTCAGCTCCTAGGTGCTGAATTCTGGAGAAAATACAAACAGCAAGACATAAAAAGGGGGCTATCATGGACAAGAACCTCATAGCTGGGGAAGAAACCCTCTAGGATATTTCCAGCTCTGCCCTGGGCACCCATGAGACCCTCTTCTTTCTGAGTTTCCACTCCCCCTCTGCCCAGCGGCAGGTGAGGGCAGACTAGGAAGGGGTTTTGCTGCAGCCCACCTATTTCCCTGCCTGGCTGGGACTCACCGAGCCCGAGACACCACATAGATAAGCAGGGGCAGTAGGTCATCCATAGGCAGTTTGTACTCCTGGCCCAGCACCCGAGACACTGTGGCCTCAACTTCCCTGTAGGTCTTCTCCAGCACCTCCAGCTTCTCCCGTGGGTCCACTGTGGTTCTGTAAGCAGGGTGAAGCTCTAGGTCAAGGCCTTGGGGCTCAGCCCTGGAAGGAGGGACAGCACTCCTGTGCCCCTTCAACACCCCCCTACCTCCGGTGGACACTCACATGATCTTCTGCAAGCACTCAGTGGCTGACAGGAAGCACTTGTCCCTGACCAGGGAGTACCTCTGTAAGGGGGAGTAGGGGAGTAAAGCAGGGGTCCCAGCTCTGACATGCTCTCATTCCCAGGGTCCCTTAACATGTACATTTGTCCTATCACTGACTTAAGTACAGTTCCAACCTGACAGCTGAGTGACCCAGAGCATGTCACAGGTCCACTATGGGCCTCATTTTATATATCTATAAAATGGAAAACTGGGCTCCAGGGGGTTGAGAAGATCAAGGTAGACAGACAATCACTGTAATAGCTGAGGTCACCAGGTGTCACCCAATTCCAAATGCTGAGGTCAGTGGTCCGTGGACCCAAGGGCCTTCTGAAACACAGGCTCCTGGGTTGACTTCCTGACTTTCTGACTCTACAGGTATAATATAAGGCTGGGGCTGGGGCTCAGTGTTAGAATGTTTGCTTAGCACATGCAGGGCCCTGAGTTTCATCCCTAGCACTGAAAAAGCAAATAGGTATGGGGTGGCCCAACAATTGCTTTACTAGGAAGCTCCAGATGGTCCTGAACCAGTCAGTCACACGTGGCCTCATGTGCCCTTCACTACAGCCACCTTAGGAGGTGGGTCAGGTGTGGCTCCATTCACAAAGGAGGAAACAGACTCTGAGCTCAGGCACCCTGCCCAGGGTCCTGGCCAGGAGAGGGGCTGAACCTACTTTTGAGCCTAGTCATATGGGAGCTACTCTAGACAGGCAGGAAGTCAGGTGTCTCTTCCCTCATCTGCCTCACCTGCCTTTCCCTGCAATCCTGACTCGAGGCTCCTGGATGTCTGAGGGGCCCCTGAGGCCCTGACCTGGGGCACAAGCTGCCCTCTCACCTGATTGCTTGTCAGCCTGAGGTCCTTGAGAGGCCACAGATGCCTGAAATTGGAGACAAGAGACAGGGAGCTTTGCCAGTCTGAGGGGGTTGTGGTCTAAGCTCAGAGGACACAATCCTGTTCTGTGTCCCCCAGGGCAGCTAAGCACTGGCAATGGCCATTATGGCATCTTCAGGTGTACACACACAGCCTGAGGCCAAGAGAAGTTACAAGGTCCTTCCTGGAAGAAGTGATTTTCCATTGCTGCATGACAAGGAGCCTTGGACATTGGAGGAGTCTGAGATGGAGAGGTAGCCACATCCACATGTCAGAGAGGTGCTAAGGAAAAAGTTAGGGGTGGGAGAGGGCAGGGGAAGCACTAGGGTGTGGTGAACACATGTCTGACTTGCTTCCAAAAACAGTCTTGGGTTTCCCCTTAGGGGTCTCCCCTCCCCCACTCTCAGTGCTAGTGCCTGGTGCATGGGTCTCAGTGGTGGATCTGGAGTCGGGCGTAGTCAACACTGGCCACCGTCCAGAGTAGGGATGCCAAATCAGGAGCGGCGCCAAGATCTGAGCTAGACTTGAGGAGCAGGAAATGCTAGCTCTCTCTGGGGACAGTGGAGGAACTGAGCTAGAAGGGAATAACCCTGGAGTGGCTGGTACCATGTTTGTCATCACGAGATAGAGCCGGAGGAAAGAGCAAAAGTAATAAATACCTTTTGTGGGATGGCTGAGCACCTAGATCCAGTCACGCTCAAACGTGCTCCCTAGAACTCTGTGGTGTGCACACCAGCTAGCCCACCCTACATTTTGCTGAAGACAGTTGAGGTCTAGTAGAACAGTCCACCACCCCTAAGCACAGGCTGAGCTGGTAAATAGAAGCTTACTTCTGCACGTCCAGGAACTCCAGCAGCTTGGTGTCAGGAAACAGGCTGAGGTTGGTGATACCCTGGCTGTACAGCCCATCCTCTCTCTCATGAAGAAGCAGATAGAGTGTGAAGAGCTCCGAGTAGAAGCTGGGCAGGATGAGGGGCAGCAGCAACCCATGCACCTGCAGATCCCTGAGAGACCAGAGCAGGGTGGAGACATCACTGCCAGAGCCACCCCTTGAGGGGCCGACAGAGCTTATTCGCATGGTGAGGATCCCTAGACCTCTCCATGTCTTTCTCAAACACCATCTGTTTATCTCATCCCTGACCAAGAGTGCCTTCTTCCCTCACTTAACTTTACAGCCAGTAGGCACTGAGGGCAGGTTTTGGATTCCTGTGTGACTGAACATGAAACTAGCCTCCTTCACCCCATGATTTCTGGTTCTACTTCCTTAGATCCAGGGGGACATTCTCCCTAATATCCTCTAACCCCATTTTCCATGTTGTTAGGGACCACTGCTCTGCTTGAACTCTGCCAAAATCTTACTGGGCATTGGCTCTAAGTCACCACCAGCCAAGAGTGTCTAAGTGGCATATACATAGGTTCTGAAGTGCAGTGTCCCTTATGTTTAGATTAGATTAGAAAAACTCTGCCTTATTTACATTGTTGTATGAACATCTGCTCTATACTCTGTAAACAAGCCACGTTTTGTTGTCAGTAGTTCCTGAGCCCCTGCAGAGAAATGTCCTCTGATCTGCCTACCTTTTGTTCCCAAACACCTGCTTAGAGAACCTAATAAAACTTTGGAAGTCGGAGACTTGGAATTCTTTGTTCTTTGGAATAGGGGGTCTCTCGGTACCCAGTTTTCTTTAATGGTAAAATGTTTCATACATTTATATAATTGATATACTACACAGGACGTAGCCGTGTCTTCCACAATGCAGGGACAGCAAGACATCCCTGGTCCTACGCATCTGCATAACTGGGAGTCTACCCTAGCAACAGCTAACTCCTGCCCTGTGTGACCTTAAGTTCATCCTCACCAGGCCTCAGTCTCCTCATTGGTACACAGGAAAGAGGAGGCTTCTGGCAATGGGTTTTCCCTCTATACAACTGGGACTTGAGGCTGACAGGCCGTGTTTATAACAGAGATATTCAGTGCATGGTGGCACAGCCCCCTACCTGGTGGCTCTCAGGACTGAGGTCATAGGTCACTGTGATGTACAGTCAATGCAGCATGTCTGGTGAATAGCATATATGCCCAACCCTTCCCCAAGAAGTGCACAGATGGAGGCCCCGGGTGTAGAGGCATAGCCAGAGTCACCTTGTCTGTTTGTCCTCCTCTTCCAAGGTCTGGCCCTGGTGCTGCAAGGCAACTCGCAGCAGACTCCTGCAAGCCAATAAGACAGGCGTGAAGTGGCCATCACCTACAAAAATGGGGCTCCACCCTTTCAGTCACCAAAAGTGAGAAGAGGGAGCTCCACCTCCCAGAATCAGCCTGCTAGATCTACATCAAATGCCTGCATCAAATGCCTGTCTCTTCTTGCCACTGGCAAGTACTGGCAGCCGAAGCTCCTATCTGTAATGTTCACAGGATCTAGGCTCCTCCTAGGACAGGATAAATGGAGCCTGAGTCCAGGGTCACACAGCCTTCAGCACAGTTAGGGCGCCCCTGGAGCCAGAGGTGGGCCTTGGAACTAGTAGGGCTTGGCCACTGGCCAGGGACTGCTGGAAGCCCTTGCTGTCATCTCAGACCTCTGCTCACCATTGACACACTGACCAACCTCTGGTCAGAAGACAGCCAGGCCTTGGAAAGGGAAATCCTGGGCTAGTCCCCAAGCAGTGGCCATCACCTAGTATACAGGCTTACCTGTAGGCAGCCCAGAGCTCCTGAGCGTGTTGCTTCACCTCCTCTCGGGCCATCCCCTGCAGGTGTTTGTTTGTGCCCATGCCCGCATATGTGGCCTGGAAGGTCAGCATCAGGGTGCGGAGCAACTTCCCCAGGGGGTGCCAGGAGTTTTTTAGAGCCTGGGCCAGAGAGAGGACAACAAGGATGTTCAGAGGCAGGGTCAGGAGTACAGCAAGCCCAGATCAGCTTCCCAGGATGTTCCCATTTCATAGATAGGAACAATGACGTCTTCAGAGGACCAGGAGTCCCATGGGCCTGTCCCCTCAGCTCAACACCATGCTGTTGAGATACAGGAGGCCTTCCCCAGCACTGGGCCCTCACCTTCCTGAGGTACGGCTGCAGGGCCTTGGGCTCTCGGTGCTGCAGCAGCTCCCGCAGGGTATCTTCCATGCTGCCCGCACTGTCCTTAGGGTGGCTCCTGGGGTATCATGCACAGCATCCCTCACCCACCCCTGGGTTGATACCCATCCCAAGGAGCCTCCCTGGCCCTCTCCCACTTGAGGGGCCACCCCGAGCGCTGGGCTCACCTCTCACAACTCAGGTACTCCTGGGACTTGCGAAGCTCCCTGGAGCTGTGCACATGGAAGCCCAGCAGGGCCTCTTGCATGTCCCCAGGACAACCTGCATCCACAAAGTCCTGGAATGGACTATAGACTCCTTGCCAGCGGTTCTCCAAGGGGAAGACACCCAGTCCCAGCTGCCTGTGATGGGGGACAGTGAGAGATGTGGAAAGATAGAGCTACAGTCCGCAGGTCCCTGGTCCCTGCTCTTGGAAGAGGTGGTGGGACCAGCCTGGCCCAGGGTCAGGCCCTGGGAGTGTGGAGGGATGGGAAATGCAGGCATAGATGACCACCAAGATACACAGAGGAGAAAGAAAGGCAGAGAGAGGGACCAGAGCAGGTGTTCTGAGATGCAACAGAGTCAGGACACATAGTCTTGTGAAAGTGGGCAGGCCGTGGGAGCTAGAGATCAAATTTAGACAGTCTTAAATCAAGAAAGACCAGTGCCTAGAAGTCCAGGATTTCCCTGCTCTTTGCTCTGTCCTCTCCTATAGCCTCCCTGTGCTTGATCCTTCCTTGGCCAACAGGCTGAGAGCTGGCTGTGCTTGTGTATACTTGACAAGTATCTCATAGAGAGAGCCCTGCTGTGCCTTCAAAGGGTATCCCCACACCACCTATACCCTACCACGCTGGGGCAGGCCCCCAGCTCCTGCTGTCAGAGAGAAGCAGCGTACAGGGTCAATGGGTTAATGAGGCCATTCTACCCCTGCCTTACATCTGAAATGCTCTCTGGGACCACTTTCCATTACCTGCCCTCCCCGCAACACATTTCTTCACTTGAACATATCAAGTCTTTCTCAACAAACATGACAAGAGTCATCACTTACTATGAATTTTCAAAAAAGAGCTCTGTCTCCATAGGAGGAAAAAAAAAAAAAACCCTCACAATCATCTACTCTGGGTGACAGTGAGCCTACTTAGCAAGTTTCTTTCATCTTGGCTATCAGAGAACTCAGAGCCAGGCTAAGGAAACCATAACTACTGCAAGACCTATACCTATTTCTTTCTTTTAAGATTAGCTCACAATTTTCTTTTCTCTTTTTTTTTTCTTCTGCATTTATTTTAGAAACTGTTACATATCATTTTTGGAAAAAAATAGCATCAAAGTAAAGCTTACAAATCATATTTTCCTTTCAGTTTATGGTATACTATTGTGTCCACCTAGCCCTTGACTTCAAGAACCTCTGGCTGGAGGGCCTGGGGCTCTGAATTCTCTGCTGTACTGAAGTCCTCTGTTGATCTCTGATGGCTTGGGTACGAAGAGACACCTGTCGCAGGCTGGGCTCTTTTTAAAAAAATGTTTTTTTTTAAATTTTATTTTGTATGTATGAGTGTATTGCCTGCATGTATGTAAGTGCACCCCTGTCATGCAATGCCCACAGAGGTCAGAAGAGGGTGTCGGATTCCCTGGAACTGGAGTTATGAACAGTTGTTAGCCACCACGGAATTGAACCCAAGTCCTCTGCAAGAGCAGCCAGTTCTCTTAACCGCTGAGCCAGTTCTCCAGTCTTCAGGCTGGGCTCTTACCTCTTGCAGGCGCTGCTTGGGTCAGGTAGAAGGGCAGCTGTGTCCAACACCCCCTGGGTGTACAGTCCTTTTCCTGACAAACTGCTGAATGAACCCTCCAGGGTAAAGCCATTGGGGAAGGTGATCTTGCCCTGGGAGCAGGAGGCGGAGGCAGGGATGTCTATGTGCCCAGCTGGCTATCCAGCCGAGCATATTAATCTCATGCCTGCCTGTGTGGGTCAGATGGAGACTTCTGACCACCTAAAGGACTAGAATGTTCTAGCTCTGCAGAGGTCTCACTAACAGCAGTGCCCACCTCTATTGTGGGTCCAGGGTCAGGCAGAGGTCTGAAGGGGAAACTCCTTGATGCTTGGGGTTGTTTCATTCATAATACCCCTGGTCACCCATGATGTACCCTCTTGTCCTTCTTGACCAGAAACTGCCCCTAAGTTTCCAAATGGACATTACTGCCTTTTGCTGGGTCAGCTCAAGTAGGATCACTGTCCTGACCATCCCACCCAGAGGGACAGCTACCCAAGGCTCTGGGGGTGATGGTGGTGGAAGGAGGGCATGGCCCAGACACAGCCAGAAATCCACTGCGCCCCCTCTGAGCATGAAGCAAGACTCCCAGAACCCTGTCACTTTACACTGTCAAATTGGTATTTCACAGCAAGTGAGGCCCTTGGAGCCCCTCTGATGCCATGGAGGTGGGAGGGGCCTTTCCAGCTGCCTACCCTCAGCTTCTGGGCCCAAGAGGAGACAAGAGGTTCCTGATCTGGCTTTGTGGGTTGCTGTGAGAGGTGGGTGGCCCTCACCTTTCCCACAAGCATCAGATCCCTGGTGAAAGTACCCTCGTACAGGGTGTCATCCTCACAGAGCAGGATGCCTGGGCCCTGGAAAGGAAGCGAGGAGTAGAAGGATGGATGAAAATGGCCAGGAAACCAGGAAACCAGAGTGGGGACTAGACACTGACCCGCAGGGCCAAAAGCCCCCAGCCCCAGTATTCCCATCTCCAGGTGGGTGTGTTGAGCCCGATGAGCCCCATCTATAGGTTTCCCTACCCTCAGGCCTGGCACCTCCTCCAGCAGCCTCTGCAGAAAACCCCTGGATGCACAGGAAGTGCCGGCTCCCTTTCAGCTGTCCCTGCTTCCCTGTCGCTGCCCTAGGTCCTCAGGGCCAATCAAGTTCCCTTATTACCACAGCTGCCAGGAAGCTCATTGCTGAGTGGGAGTCAGTTTATGCTCAACTTATTTCTGGATCTATTTTGTGTGCCTATGTTTGCCTTTCCTTCCCCTTTCTTTATACATCTCCTTGAGTTCTTTCCAGAACAAGGGGAAGCCTAAACAAACAAGCCGTAAAACCAGACATAGGTGTTGGTCAAAGCCCCTGGCTGGTACATGAGGTGGAAGGTAAGAGTTGGAGGCCCAGGCTCGGGGAAACTGGTTTGATTTTGGTCTGGCATCCTACAGGATATGACATTAAGCAGGTTCTCTGGAACCTGTCATCTGCCATCAATGCACATGGGCCATTTATATGCTAGAGATAATGACATCAACTTCAGGGGTCACACAAGGACCCTAGAAAGAAGATAGGGGGCTCAGCCAGGGCCAGTAAAGAGTCTACAAGTGCCACTGATAGAATTATAACATGCTTTTTTCTTGCTAGCTCATGAGTATGCAATAAGAACCATTGACCTGAGTTGTACATGGGGAAACTGAGGCTGGGAGAGGCCAGGTCAAGGTAGATGGGAGGCAGAGTTGGGCATCCCTCACTACCCACCCACCACCCACCCACCTAGCCTGGCCTCAGCTCAGCTTCCTAGTACCCATGGCAAGGGAGAACAGGGAGAGTGGGGCCACAACTCACAGTCATCTTGTCTCCCTGGAAGGTACCCTGGTAACAGACACCTGCCTGGGTGACCACAACCCCAGGGCCATGACGATGGTCAGCCTGCCACATACCAATATAGCGCTCACCCCTGGGGGAAGAGAGAGTGTGAGAGAAGGGATTCAGAATGGCTCCCTGTGCTTTCTGGATACCTACTGGCAGAGGCTGCAGGGAGACAGATATAGAGAGGATACCAAGGAAAAAAGGGTGGCAAAGGAGGGCATCTTCCTGGGGGAGGGGGAATGCTGAGGGCACCCCTGGAGGTGGCAGGAAGCACAGATGGAGGGAGGTACCATGGAGGCAGGAGCCCAGGACAGATTTGAGAGGTTGCTCAGCAATTCAAAAAGTTGAAGGGTGCTTAGGGGACTAGAGAGAGTCTGTGCCTTGAGCCATTTGGGCCTGCAAGGGCCCTCTCTGCCAGAATTCACCTGTCATTGTCCTCCTCAATGCCATAGCCGCTCCTCTGGCCTCTCTCCCAGTGGCCTGTGTACCTGAAGGGCTGGGAGGCCTTTAGGGCACTGTCAAGGACGCCAAATCCATGCCGTAGCCCCGCCTGAAAATAGCCTTTGTACACCTCATCATTGCTGTACCTGGAGAGGGTCACCAACAGCTGGCTACACCTCAAGAAGCTCATGCCAAAGGACCACTCCCCACCCGACTCCCAATCGACTTACTCCCAATCGACTTACTCCCAATCGACTTACTCACAAATACCAAAGCCGCACATGCTGCCTTCCTGCCAGTGGCACTTGTAGCAGTTAAACTTGTCTTCTGAGGCCTGGGGCACCAGGCAGATGCCAAAGCTGACCGTGTGATTGGATGGGGTTGGAAGTGAGTATCCAAGTCACCTGCCTACGCTGCCCTGACTCGCCCCATCATATCCCTCCATGTTACCCAGGTGGCCCTGCCTCCAAGGAATCTCTCAGAAGATAAAGAGGATCTCAGAGAGCCCTATCTTCTTCCAAAAATTCCTCAGATCACCCCTCCCTCCACCATGGATGCCAGTCTCAGGCGGAGACCCATGTTCCTATCCAGTTCTGGGTTCCCTTTCTGCACCTATCTGGTAAGAGGAGCTGATCTGGCTGTTCCTGCTTGAGATTTGGAAAAGTGACACAGGCCCAGCTGATGACTGTTATCCTGCCCACCCCATATGCCAGCATCTACCCAGTCAGCCTTACCCATGCTCCAGGCCCTGGCAGAAATCCCCCACATGGTTCCGCCCATCTGGCCACTTCAGGATTCCCCTGGAACACAGGTGAGGTCTATGACATTAGGCCACCAGACCAATTGGTTGACGATCTCACCCCCAGACTGTCTCAGAGGCCCTCCCTTCCCCGACTCCGGGTTTTCCTTCAAACTGGATTCTACCCGCCTAGTCCTCACCTGAGCTCTGAGAGCCCTCACTGAAAATCTCAAGCCTTCTCATCTCCTGACACAATTCCACCAGCAACCTTGTGGGGACACTCAAGGTACTCACCACTTCCCATAGGGAAAGCCCTGGAGACTCTATATTCCCTTTATCCTTTGGGCCACAGGCAGCTCTGAGCTAAATTTCAAGCTACAGAGAACTGCTAGTCAATGGGATTTCTATCAAACTCCTTCCTCCTAATGTCCCATGAATCCCTGGGACCTTCCAGGAAGTGTTCAGGCCAGAGTGATGGTGACTTACTTGCCATGGGGCTTGGCCCAGCACCATTCACCCTCGTAGGTAGCCTGACAGAGCCGGCCCTCGTGTTGGAAAGTGTAGGCCACATGGCGACAGTCAGGAGGTGCAGAAGGCTCTATGATCGACCCCAGCACAGGGAAATCCTTCTTGCCACGCAGGGCCTGGCATACAGCCTTGCTCACCTTCCACCGCCAGACAACCTGGTGGGGACAGGGAAGCAGTGAATAGGTCAACACCCCTGCAGGCATCCCCTAAAGAGGCCTTAGTGGGCATCCAGGCCCTGCCCTTCCACACCCCACCACCCTACCCCAAGCACACTGTCCCACTACAGTACGGCATGGGACCAAGATCCTTTGAGCAGCTCAGGGACTAGACAACTTAAAAGCTATACAAGACTGTGAGGCAGGTGTCAACTTGGACCTTGATTCTACCCTCATAGTGGAAAAAAAAAAATCCCTGTTCCTTTAGCATCCTAATACCCAACCCCAAGCACACTTGTGACCCCTCTGAGCCTGACTCCAGAGCCTTGTAAGATTAGCACTCTGCCCTCTCTTGGCTCCTGACTCGACTCCCATTCATTCCTCACTACCACTCACCTGGCTCTGGGAGTCCCTGGCACAAAAGGAGAATTCTTCTTCTGGTGTGAGGATGTGAAGCACACACCTAGATGGACAGAGGTGGCCAGTGAGCCCCAGCTCTGTCTGACAATGGGGATAGAGCCCATGTGGGAGCCTGGAGGTGGGGGCAGGTATCATGGAGTAGAGGGAGGAACGTTGAAGCACATTTGCAAAGCAGGTCACTCACTTGTTTTGCCCAGGATCTACCCACACCAGCTTCAAGTCAAAGGAGTGGACATTGTGGCCCTGGAAGAAGATGGGCCCAGGCGTCATTCAGAGGCAAGTCTAGAGGGACCCCTGCCCTGGTGGCCCCAGGCTGTCAGCACACCAGCTCTGGGTTCTTCCACTGCAGCCTGTTCTCTTCCAGTTATAGCTTTCATTTCTTTTCCCATCTTAATGGCCTGGTCAGGCACCTGGTTAGACTACCCTTAACCTGTGTGGCTGCCAGAGTGTTCTGGTAATACAGTTGTCTCCTGACAGCCACTGCTGTGAACCTCCTTTCACCTAGGGACTGAGACCCACTGTGGGGCCTAATATGTCCACTTCAGGCCCATAGACCCCCATCTTCACACTCTCCAGCTGCAGGTGTCAGACGCTCTGCCATCATGCCTTCCTGTGCTTTCCCCAGACTCCCCTCACTCTACATCTTTGCTCATATTCTCCCTTCTACCCAGAGGGTTACCCTACTCTGAGGCAGATGAGAAGTCCCTCCCTCTGGGGTGTTATGACCTCCCACTTGGCCCAAGAGGCTGCTTACTGCTCAGTGGCCAGGAGGGAAAAAGGCACAGTCTAAGCCTGAGAGTTGAAGAGTTTATGAGACATAGCCAAGGGACAAGAGTCCTCCAGAAACAACAGCATGAGCTAAGGCCCAAGGGTGATATGATGGTTAATACTGGTTGTCAATCACCTGGGAGACAAGCCTCTGGACATGCCTGTGAGGGAGTTTCTAGATTGGGTTAATTGAGGTGGGAAGATCTATTTTAATTTGGACAGCACCAACCCATGGACTGGGGTCCTGGACTGAATAAAAACGAAGAAAGTAAGCCAAGCACCAGTGTTCATCTCCTTTTGCTTCTGTGGGAGCAATGTGACCAGCTGCCTCATGCTTCTGCTGACATGCCTTCCCCACCATGATGGACTGTAACCATGAACCATGAACTAAAATAAACCCTTCCTTTCTTAAGTTGTTTGTGTCGGGTATTTTGTCACAGTAACAAGAAAAGGAATCAATACAAGGGCTAGCAGTTAGGAATGGCATCTCCAAAGGGCAGACAGTGAAGTCAGGAAGGGAGGGTACTCAGACAAAATCAGAACAAACCCCAAACCAGGCTGACATTCTAAGTCAGGGAAGGTAATTCTGTGAACTTCACAAGAACCAGATGAGTTTGGTCAAGGTTATTTGGCTATGGGACAATGCCCAAAGTCCAGGTTCAGTTTCCTCTTGACCTGCAATGCTCAACCTTTCTCTCCTCCTATTCCCCAAGTCCATGGTCTTAGCTTCATCTCTTGCTCCCTTCCAATTCAGTTTTTAATCTGACCCCAGAGCCCCACCTCAGGTGACCTCCCTCCCAACCTGGAGCAGGACAAGGACATCATCAAAGAGTAGCACACGCTCAGCCCGCAGCGGGGTGACTGTCACAGGGATGTCCTGGCTGTCCTGTAGGAGTCGGTGAGTAGGGGTGCAGAGCACATCCTGGTGGGGTGAAGAGAGAGGCAAGGGGTTCAGGTACCCCTGTACCTTCCTCCTGTACCCCAGACCCCAGACACCTCCCAGAGGCCATGTCAGCAGGCCTGAAGTAGCTTCCCTCCCACCACCATGTGCCAAGATGGGGGGTCATTCCTGGATCAGGCCAGCAGGGCAGCACAGCTTCTCTCTCTGGAGCTTTCCTGGGCTATCTCCATACTCCATTCCAGTCCCACAGCCAGCAGACCTCGTCACCTCATCCTGTATGCTGCAACCTCCCTCGAAATCCCACACCTCCATCTGCTGCAGCTATTCCAGTTCCCTCTACATCTGACCCATCATACCTTCTGGGGGTACAAGGACTCTCCCTCCTGCAGAGCCATTACATGACATGCTAAACAGTGACTGGGAGATGTGATTAACACCACCAGAGAGAAAGTCAGTTCTGTTGATCTGGTCAGGGCCAGTCCAGAAGCCACTCAGCATGCGACTGAGGGTAGCTGACCAGCCACCAGGTCATCAATTCTCCTTCCAGATAGGGAGACTGAGGCAGACATCTGTTTAGATCCCAGCCCCAACTTCACATCCAACATGAAGCTCCCCTTCCCTGATGGCCCCAAAGCCCAAACTCACTCTCAGCCGGCTGTTCAGGCTATGCCACAGGGCCTGTGTGGCCACAGCTTGATCCAATGCCTGCCCCATGAAGGACTGCAGGTTCTCAAACTGGGTGACTGCATGCATCACCAGTTTCTGGGCAGGATGGTGCTGGGGAAAACGGGACAGATGGGGAGAGTCTGAAGGCCTTGGAACCAGCCCCCACCCCAGTGATAGGCTCCATCCTTTTTTTTTCTGACAGCTCCTGTTGTGGAGCAGGGAGAGGGTGTGAAGGTGCTTCTAAATGAGTCAGGACACTTCAATGCCTTCAACAGCCTGGCCCTCCCTGGGCCATATGTCCTCACACTCAGTAGAGGATCCCATGTCTGCTTTCTGGTTTTTAGCTGCCCTACCAGGGCAGAGACATGTGCCTAAGATTCCATGGAGCAGATTCATGTCCCCAGAATGTCCCCCCGCCCCCACAAGTAGACATCCCAGGGCAGAGCTATGTCCCTCCAGTGTCTCTACCCCTTGCTTGGCTTGGTCCCCTGAGTTTGGACTCTGCCTGCTTTTCCTCTCCTTCAGCTATGCACGTGCGCACACCACACAAACACACACACACCCACACACCTTGGACAGCCCCTGGTACCCACCTTCCCGAGGGTATCCCTGAGGCTCAACAGGAGGAGCACGTATTGCTGCACATGTTGGGCAAGTGGCTGTTGGAGGGCCTGGCTTAGCATGGTGCCCAATGAGCCCTCGGAGCTTGCATGGGACAGCAATGGCTGCAGCACCTTCCTCTGATTCCGCCAGTATTCACTGCATGTAGGGAGGGTCATACATCATCTTCATGCCTGCACCCATCTCCACTGTCCCCTGTTCTAACCATTCCCCACCTCCATTCCCAGAGCTTCTAGCCTCAGGACCCCAACTCTGTACCTCATTAGTCCAGCAAAGTACTAAGTTCCCTTCCTGGAGATTTTGCAGGTGCATCTCGGAGGGGCAGGGGACACCTGAGTGGTGGACTGCTGCTCTGTGGTGGGCTTCCCCAGCTCCACCCTCATCCACACACGCCCTCACATTGACACAGGGAGCTACCATGGCAGCCCCAGGCTCACCTCTTCTTCTTCGTGGCTTTCTGAAAGGCCTGTACCACCATGCAGTCAGTGTAGGACTCGATGTACCTATGGGCAATCCAGATCAATCTGCAAGCCCAACTCCCAACTCAGGCTCAGCCCCTGCCCTTTTGGGAACCCCAGATCCCATCCACTGAGCAGTCAGAATTGTGAGGGACAAGGGAATGGCTTGACTCTGGGCACCGATGACCTCAAACCCTGACCTAATGACAGAGTCCATTCTACATAGGCCTAGTCCCTGGGAGGCTCAATGTTCAGGTCTGAATGTCAGAGCCTGGTGCCAAGCCAACACCCCAACCTCACTCCAGATGATCCTTAAGGTCGAATAGCCAGGGTGACCAGACCTCCCCTGGGGTCTTACTCCTTGTGGGCCCGAAGAACAGAGTCAGTGTTTTGCAGTAGCAGCAGGGCCTTGAGACCAGTGGAGGACGGGTGGTGCAGCCTCTGCCTCAGAGAGTGTAGACTTAGCTCTGTCACCTCCCACAACCGCTGGGCACGTTCATGCAGGCGATGTAGGAGCTGCATGCTCTCTCTGCCTCGTGAGTCTGAGGGCTCTGGGTCTGTGAGAAGTATAATCAGTCTGAGCTGGCACTCAGGTAGGGTCCGGTAGCCCCGGGATTCTCGGGACAGCACTAGCACTCCCTAGAGTTCCTCAGTGGAAGAGCAGGCTGGCTGGGTAGGGGCTGAGGCCATGAGTAAGTAGGGTTGTGTATGTATGTCTTAATAGGACAACCATAATCATCTTGGGGAACCAAGTCCACTAACACCCCTGAGTCTCTGGCCTCCTTACTCTGGACCCAAATGCAGAATATGGAGTCTTCAGAATCACAGTTCATTCCCCAGCCATTTCACAGATATACAAACAGGCCCTGAGAAGAAGGCACCTGCCCAAGCTCACTTAACATGGGAAACCCCAGATGGAAGGAAGGCCTTGCGTCCTGCCTTCAAGTCAGAACATTTCACAGCACCACCAGGAGCCCTGAGCAGGGTTCAAGATGAGAAGTGAGGCAAGGGATGTGTGGTCCCCAGAGTCCATTTGGGAAGGAAACAACCAATAACTGGTGGCCAAGGTGTCAGTGCCATAAAAAGATGGCAGTACCAAGAGCCACCACTCCCACTTGAGACTGACACAGAATGTCCAACATGGCAGGACTCTTGTCCCCAGGACCACTCCTACATCCTCTGCCTTCTCCACCAAGGGTCTAGACTCACCAGCTAAGAGCAGGGGCTGGAGGATAAGACTGCTGGTGCGGGCAAGGGTAGTTGAGAAGACCTCCTCCAGCCGGAGCAGGTCTGCTTCCTCAGGGCTGCACATGGCCAGGGTGCCAGACACAGGGCCTCCTGGGTAGGAAGGACACAAGTCACAGCTAGAGAACATGGCAGGGTCATAAATGTCCTCCCCAGTGTCCAGAAAGCAGGCTCATGACCACTCATATCAGAACTGCTCACTGACCCTAGCTCCTCTCAAAGCAAAGATCTAGACAGACCACTGACGCCACCCTACTCCTTGCCTGGCCCAGTGGAAGGCCCAGATGGGAGAAGAAGACAGGGCTGTAAACTGCCAAGGGAAGCATCTTTTCTACCCAAGAGTATGCATTCTTCAAGGTCAGTTTTGACCTGCTCAAACACTGGTCATGGATCCAAGTACCCGGGGGATACTGTGGTATCTGCCCTGGCCACCTTTCTGTTGAATCTGTTAGGGGATTCTGCAATCTTTTTGTTGTTGTTGTTTTGTTTGTTAGTTTGCTTTTGTTTTTTTGTCTTTGAGACAAGGTCTCCCTATAGCCCCAGCTGGCCTGGATCTCGCTGTGGCGACCAGACTGGATTTGATCTCACAGAGCTCTGTCTGCCTTTGCTTCCCAAGCGCTGAGATTAAAGGTGTGTGCCACCATGGTCAGCCTAACTCTGCAGTCTTTCAAAGGGACATCCTGCCAGAGGAGCTCAACTGTGCCCTCATGGCCGGGGTCAGGGCTCCCTGTCACCAGACTGGGCTATGTAAGTCGGGAGAGACCTGATACAACAAAAGGAGTCTGGAGGCCTTCTGTTGGAACTGCAAAGGAAAAGCAAGTCATAAAGAGAAGGGCATGGTGCTGAACACCTGTAACCCCAGCACCTGGGGGGCTGAGGCAGCAGGACTGCTGTGAATCAGCTGTGAGGCCAGCCTGGGCTAAGACTAAGGCCCTGTCAGAAAAAAAGAAAGTAAAAAAGGAAGGGAGGGAGGGAGGGGGAGGAAGGGAAGAGAAAACGTAGCATGCATTGGGGAGAAGTGAAAGCAAAGCCTCATGGAAGTGCTGGCCAAGCCTGAGAGGACGGCCCACCTTCTTTGGCTCACAGACAAGCCTGACTTTGCTTCAGTCAACCTTGAAGATAGTGGAGGGCTTTAGAACAAGGTAATAGCAGATCAAACTTGGGGGAACAAACTTGGTGACAGTTTCAGAGAAGATGGAGCCAGGCAACAAGAAAGCTCAGCATGGACAGGAGCCCAGATGCTCTACATCTCCCTTCCCAACCAGGCTGAGCCTGCTGGAGGGGTCTCACTCAAGAAGCAGAGTCACTGGGCTGGGCAGGTAGGTCAGCTGGAGCCTTGGGATCTTCTGCCCTAGGTGTGGGATCCTTTAAGCAAGCAGGGATCACCGGGGATGCAACATCCTTATGGGCAGCAGGGGCAGTGAGGAAGCTAGACTTGAACCCACCCCACAGCAGTGCTGTGGCTCTGCTCAGGCAAACTTTCCCCCAGCTGGCCCTTGCCGTCCTCACTTGGGAGGGGGTTCAACTGTCCAAATGGCCTGACTCAATGGACACCTCAGGGTAGAGTTAGGTCTTTATTTTGCCTGAGGCATTGGAATTAGCAGACCTGGGTGGAGCCAATATCACCAGAGTGGTCAGTAAAGGCAGGTGACACAGACAGCAGACCCAAGCAAATGGAAGGAGGCTGTCTTTCTGAAGTCACCCCCAAAGATGCCATGGAGGCACCACAGGCCCCTGATACAGTCTCAGATTTCCAGGGAATCAGCTCTGAAGAGACTGGGGTGGGGACCTCAGAACTCTGGCCCAGATCCCAGGCCCAGGCATTCCTGCCCCACCTTTCCTGCTGCAGCTCTGTTGCTTTGGGAGGGCGAGACTGTGGGAAGGGAGGCAGGAAGAGGAAGCTGCTGGATGCCCAGCTGCAGTCATCTTTGCTGGCCACTGCAGCAGCCCCAGTCCTTGGGGAGGCAGGGTGAATGGGGGATGCAGGGACAGGACAATTCAGGAGGCTCTAGATCCGTTGACACTGTCTAGGATAGCCCAGCTGAGGGAGTCAGGTGTGGTCAGTGGTCTGGACCTGCCTGACCCTGAGCCATGTTTCCAGAAACTGATAGAATGGAAAGCCTATGCCTACAACTTTGAACTACCCAGGTACCAGCCCATACCTCGTCTGCTCCCCACAGGAGAGGCATCTCAGCCTGCCAGGCCCCTGCTTCTTTCTGAACCTCATTCACCCTTCCTGAAATGGATATCTAAGTATACCAGAAAATTTCAAGCTATTGTAGTTGTCCCTCAAAAGAGCAAACTGTGGAGGCGAGCCTCTCTAGGTATGGGAACCTGGAGTCTCCACATCTCCAAGGCATAGAATGGCCCTGGTAAATGCTACAGACCTAGGTTAGTGGCCACTAATTCCAGAGTGTCTTCCAGGTCTGTGCCCCCCAAAAGACTATTCACCCCTGGGAAATCACAATGTCCAGAGGAAAGGATAGAAAGTAAGCATGGATGGTGCATTTGAGGCTGGGAGTCTGGTGTGGAGGTCCCTGGTGTAGGAGATTCAAGTTCATCCTGGAAGTGATGGGGTGGATATAAGGGCAGGGGTAAGGCCAGGCACAAGTGTGCAAGAGTGTGTGTACACAGGGAAATGGCTGGTACCAAATAACAGGGAGGTACTCCCCTCTTCAACCCCAGGCCCACCACCCATCCCATACCCTTCTGGTTAAGGGCATGACCTCCTTATCCTCTCCCTCCCACCAACTCCAGGGTCTTTGGTGGGAGACAACACAAAACGGGAAAACTGAGGCAAGGGAAGGCCAGTAGAGCCCAGAGATACTATCTGTAGAGAAAGTGCAAGGCTCAGACCCAGGCCTCTGACTCCCAGCCCCAACAGGCTCACCAGAGCTAGGGGCTCAGAGAGGCTAAGTGACTCACTGGGGCATGCAACGCCTTTCCGTCAGAGTCCAGCTTCCTACCCCATCCCCAGGCAGACTTGATGCTCACAAGGGGTGTGGTGTACCAGAACTAGCCAGTTGGGACATGTACAGGTGAGTCAGCCACCATCCCTGAGGCGGTCTAAACAGAAGCTGAACCTGCTTGCTCTCTCTTTCCTCTGCACTCCTGGCCTCTGTCCACACTACACTGCTCCTAAGCAGGGTCACTGGGGCCTTCCCTGCCTTCTCCCAGCCCTGGCCCCTCAGGCCCTTTTGAGCCTCACCCTGGCATGGCACTCACTCTGGTATTTCCTGGTCTGGATCAGCAAGAATCTTAAATTCTGCTGTGAAGGTCTTGTCCTGAATTGTGCTGAAGGTCTTTTAATCAACCAACATGCCCACTAGACACTGGAGAGAGGGACTGCCCTGGGGAGGCGCACTGAGCCGGCACACCTAACCCTCAGTCTCCACCCCCAGCCTCCCTTCTCCCTCTGCGTGGTTCCTAGCTTCTGGCCTTAGCTGCCTTCCCATCACTGCAGTAGAGTAGCTCCCAGCTTCCTCTTCCTCTGCCTGCCCTGGCACAGTCACCAGAGTTTCCCAAACCTACTAGTCAATTCCAGACATCGGGCACCTGCCTACTGTCCTTCCCGGAGGGTAGCTACACCTTCTGGGTTCCTTTCTTTGCCTGTCCTGTCTTGACCAACAGGAGACACCTCCTCCTGGCAGGCTCTCCCGCAGGACGAGGCTCCGTGAAACATTTGCACCCGGGTCCAGGCCAGGCCCTTGAGCACTGTGCTCATGCCTTGCACGGCTGCTAGAGCTGGACCCAGCTCTGCGTTTAAACCCCAGCTGGGTGACCACGGGGCAGGGAGGAGGAAACTAAGTCGGATAAACTCTAGTGCAGCCCGCGGCGTGAGTACAGCTGGAGATTGGGCTGTGATGGAGGGATCGGGACAGGACGGTGGCCGGGGGAGCGGGCGAGAGCCCCCTCCTGGCTGCCCCAAGCGTGGGGCAGCGCACCCCACCCGCAGACGCGCACCCTTACCTGCGCCAAGCGGTGCCCCAACTGGCCGCGCGGCTCGGCAATCCGGCCGCCCGCACCCTGCGCGCCAGCTCTGGGCGCCCCGCCCCGGGGTGTTGCTCCGGTTGGGGGCGCCTCGGAGGAGGCGGGGCGCGGCATCGGAGTGTCCCGGCGCCGCCTGTCTCTCGGCAGGTCCCTCTCCAGCCACCGCCGAGCTGCAGAGGCTCCCAGAAGCCACCCTGAAGCGCAGGTTGGGGTGCCTCCCTGCTCTCCGTGTACCAGAGATTGCACCCTGGCTGCCTGTGGCCCCCCTCACTTCCCCTTCCAGGCTCCAAGGACAGCGGGCAGTCTGGGAGGCCACCTCGGTTTCCTTGCCCACCGACTCTGCCCCTGGGTGCAGCTCTGGAACCTTGCTGACCCCCTCTGAATCACCGAGGTCAGCTCAGAAGGCGCCGTAGGTTGGATTCCGGAAACTTGCTGCTTAGAGCGGTCAGTTGTGACGACCCCGCAACCCCTGGACTGGGTGTCCTTCGGTAGTGGTTATTTGACCTTGAAGAAGGCTCCCTGCCCCCACTGGAGTACAGCCTGAGGCTGGCCAGTTTCCTGTGCCAAGGCCTTCGACCCTGGAAAGACTGGAACAGGCCTAGTTCCAGACAGACCTCCTAGATGGAGGAGGGGCCTTGGTTCAAACCTGTAACAAAGAGGCTTGCTGTCCTGCTCCCCTTTTGGCCAGCAAACCAGTCACCCAGAACTTCCGGTGGCATCCAGGCTCTGGGAGCTGCCCATCCTCACTGAGCATCTAACCTTTCCAAGCCTGAGAAAATGGGGAAGAAGCCTAGTGTAGAGACAGCTGTAAAAGAGAGTAAGGATGGTCCACCTGCCCCCTACCCAAGACTCAGCCTCCATCTACCCTGCTAGGAGGAAGAGAGACTTCCAAGAAGGCATAACTCTGTTGCTGGGTTCTGCCAACCTCAGTAGCCCTGGATCCCTTAGGTTGTCATTTGGTGAGGGCTCAAGTTCTGCCAAGCTGCCCTATAGTGCCAGGCTTGGAGGGTTGGCTGCCTTGAGCCCCTGCCTTGGGTGACACTGCCTGTGTGTCCCCCACCCCAGCCCAACATTACTCTGCTCTTGGGTCTCCATCCTCAAAAGCCCTTCCCCAGCCACTTCCCTTCCCACCTGGCCAAGACCTGTCCTATCTCTAGCTACCTCTTTCCAGCCTTTTTCTTTTTAGGTAGATACATTCATTACAGGTGTGTGTGTGTGTGTGTGTGTGTGTGTGTGTGTGTGTGTGTGTGTGTGTGTGAGATTTGTGTGTATGTATCCAAGTGCATGTGTATACATATGTATTTGCATCCATGAGAAGTCTAGAGTTAAGATAGCCTTGGCTATCTTTCCTCAGGTGCTGACTACTTTTATATTTCTTTTCTGACACAGTGTCTCTCATTGGCCTGGAGCTAATTGAGTAAGCTAGACTGACTAGTGAGAGAGCTCATCTGCCTGTCTCTACTTCCCTGGGGATGGGATTACAAGTGTGCACCACCACACCCAGCTTTTTCACTTGGGTTCTGGGGGTGGAACTCAGGTCCTCATATTTATAAGGCAAGCACTTGCCAGAACTATCACTCCAGTGCTTTCTAGATTACCTCCCCCTGTGCTTCCTGCTACCTGAGGGATCTTAATGTCCTAGAGGCTTACTACTCTGCCCTAGCCCACTGCCTGTTCCCTTCTGGAAGGCAGGGCAGGGTCATGAGCTGGACAGTCAGCCCTTTCCCTCTCTGGGCCTCAGTTTCTTCATGTGTACATGTATCTGAAAGGAAGCAGTACTGCCGGCACTCCAACAGGAAGGGAGGGGCTGTATCAGCCTTCTTCCCAGATGTGACAGCTGTTCAGTCTCATCGACAAGGATTGAGCTCTGCTGGGAATCAGTCTTCCCTGCCCACTGAGCTACCTCACAGGTATTGCCATTCCCTGCTTTATTATCTGCCAAATGAGGCAAGATCTTCCAGTTAGTCCTTGGCTGGGGACTAGACAGGGCCTCGGCACCCCTGGCAGTGCCCAAAGGACAATCTCCACCGGATTCGCCAGCCTCGGTCCCTGGCAGTGCAGTGCTCCTGCCTCAGTTCCCCACAGATATGCACATGCCCTGCACATACATGCAGTTCCACAAGGGAGGAATGTGGCAGTCTGTGCACTCACCTGGGCCAGATGTGACCTCCACTGCTGTGCTTCACAGCTCCACAGTGTCAGCCCTGTTCATGGGCACTTATGCATCCATCTACAAGGACACAGAGGGGCAGACAAAATGCAATGTACTCCCATGCACACCATTGTCTTGGTACACAAACACAAGTTCATGCACTTGAGCTATTCTAGGCTGGGCCTAGGGCCAGCAAGTTCAGAGACAGCCAGCACCCAGCATACCCTGGCTGCTGTGTCACTAAAGCCAGGCTATCTAACTCCCACCCCCACCTCAGGCTAAGTCCATGATGGCCAGGATCCCAGCCTTGCTCTGTGACTGGGGATGGGGGATGTTCCTATTCACTACTCCTCAGCTTCTCCAAAGCTAAGCCTAGAGTTCCATCATCTCGGGCTCCAGGAGAGAAGTAACATGGGGTCTCCTGGCCACTACTCACGTCTCTGCCCATAGCTTCCAGCCCAGAGGCCCAGGAGATTAGACTAGCTCCCTTCAGGAAACCCACAAGACCTAAAAATAGTGCAGGAGGAACAAGTTGTATTGAGCACGCCAATACTCATGCCTCCATGCAAGGAGGGGGTGCTGTTTTCCCGGGAGCCAGAGACCCCCTACCCTAGTCTTGACGGACCCAGCTGAGGTAGGGGGAGGAACATGGGGATGTCAACAGGCTTGGTACAAAGTAGCAATACTACTAAAGACTGGGCAGAGCCCTGGATCAGAGGCAGAAGACTGAGTCAGAGGCTGCAGTTCCTGTGACCTGAGGCCAAGCACAACTCCTCTCTGGGATTTATCCTTCACAAGAAAGCAGAGCAGGGCTGACATGATGGATCAGCTAGTAAAGGCACTTTCTTGCTGTATAAGCCTGGCAACTAGAGTTCAATCCTGGGAACCCACGTAAAGGTGAAAGGAGAGAAACTACTCTACAAAGTTGTCTTCTGACCTCCACACATGTGCTGTGGCACACACTATCCCCTACACACGTATCATGCACACTAACAAGGCACACACAATACATAAATATTTATTTTATTTTATTTTTATTTTATGTGTATGAGTGTTTTGCCTGCATGTACATAAGTGAACCACATGTGTGAAATACCTGAGGAGTCCAGAAGAGGGTGTTGGTTCTCCCTGAACTGGAGTTAAGGATGGGTGTTAGCCACCTTGTGGGTGCTGGGAACTGAACCTGGGTCCTCTGGAAGAACAGTAAGTGCTCTTAACCCCTGAGCTATCTCTTCAGCACCATAGTAATTACATTTTTTATTTTTACTTTTATTTTATGTATATGAGCGTATTGCCTGAATGGATGTAAGTGCACCCATACCATGCATGAGAGCCCCTGGAACTGGAGTTACACATGGTCCTTAGCTGACATGTGGGTGCTGGGAATTGAACCCGAGTCTTCTGCAAGAGTAGCCAGTGTTCTTAACTGCTGAGCCATCTCTCCAGCCCTGTAAATAAATCTTAACAAAACAGCCAGGAGTGGTGGTGTAGCAGAGGCAGGCAGATTGCTGTGAGATCTGGGCCAGCCTGGGATGATCTACATAGGTACAGACCAGCTGAGACTATAGGGAGACCCTGTCTCAAACCAACCAACCAACAAACAAAAGAATAAAACATAAGAAAACAGGGGAAACCCAGCTGGGCATGGTGACGCAGACCTTTAATCCCAGCACTTGGGAGGCAGAGGCAGGCGGATCTCTGTGAGTTCGAGGCCAGCCTGGTCTACATAGCAAGTTCCAGGACAGCTGGGGCTACAGGGAGACCCTGTCTCAAAAAGACCAAAAAAAACCAAAAAACAAAAAACAAACAAAAAAACCAAAACAAACAAAAAACAAAGACAAAAGAAAACAGGGGAAACCAAAGTCACAGCAAAGGCCAACTATCAATCCAAAATGTAAGTTTCACTTCTTGGAGAATTGGAAACCCCTGATCTAACAACAGAGTATTGACCGAATAAGATATTGCTCTGTTTTTATTCAGTGTACTATGTACATACAGCCTTGAACAATGACAATCTATAAAGACAAACATTACAATGGCTTATCACATGCAGGCACTACCTGCTGTCATCACACCTATTTTACAGGTAAGGGTTGGTGTTCAGAGATGGTAAGTAATCTGCCTGATGGTTTACAGCAGTCAGTTTGATCATGTCCCAGAATATGTAGTGTAGATTAAGCTTTTGTGATTGTTGTTTGTTTTTTGAGATCTTTTGTAGTTAGGCTGGATTTGAACTCCTGATCCTCCTGTCTCTACCTCCCAAGTGCTGAGATATGTTTCAGATATTATGAAACATAAAGCTACAAATTTACAAGAAACATTATTTGAAAGTTACAACCATCTGTAACTCCAGTTCCAGGGGAATCTGACACTATCTTCTGACCTCTATGGGCACTGCACAACATGGGTACACTTACACACATACAGGAAATACACTCATACAAATAAAATAATAAGTAAAATATTTAAAAAATAAAAAACTTTTAAAAAGTAGTTAAATTTTTGTGCTAATTATATTTTGTCAATTTTGAATAACCCCTTTCAACTTTAAAACAATGTATTATTTTATGTGTATGAGTGTATTGCCTGCGTGAAGGTTAAATGTACCAGAGTCATGCAGTACCCACAGAGGTCAGAAGAGGGCATCAGATCCCCTGGAACTGGAGTTATAGATGGTTGTTAGCTGCCATGTGGGTACTGGGAATTGCTGCAAGAGCAGCCAGTGCTCTTAACTGCTGAACCATCTCTTCAGCCCACCCTTTTCAACTTTTGCCATTTTCAGAGGGCCAAAAAAGAAATTTAAATAAGTTTTCAAAAACTATTTCTTTTTTTTTTGGTCTTTTTGTGACAGAGTCTCCCTGTAGCCCCAGCTGGCCTGGAACTCACCATGTAAAACAGGTTGGCCTCGACCTCACAAAGATCCCCCTGCCTCTGCCTGAGTGCTGGGATTAAAGGCATGCAGCACCATGCCCAGCCCCTCAAATACAATTTCTTTTGTCTTGCTATGTCGAGCTAGCTGGCCCAGAAGTCACTGTGTAGACCAGGTTGGCCTTGAACTTGCAGTGATCCTCCTGCCTCTAGCTACTGAGTGCTGGATTATAAGTGTGTGCCACTGAGACCCAATCATCAAGTGGTATTTCTTGTAAAGTCATAAATTTTCACTTCTCAGGTTATTCAACTATAAAATTACACCAAGATTTTTGGGACATCCTGCTGTACTAAGCCAATTGGATTTTGAAGCCTGAATGTATAGTATTTTTTTCTCTCTTTCCGTGTGTGTGTGTGTGTGTGTGTGTGTGTGTGTGTGTGTACGTATATCATGAGAGGAGGTATCTAGGGAGCTTTGTTGGATCAAAAGACTTGGTTTCAAAGGATATGGAGCCATCAGCTCTGTTTAAGATCCTACAGAGGAGGATTGTGAGTCTGAGGTCAACCTGGGCTGCATAGCAAACACCCTGTCTCCAAACACTAGAGAGGGATGGGGGCAGTGATAGACCCTTGCAGAGAGATAGAACTCACAAGGAGTGGTGCCCTTTCAGGATAAAACAATAGTGCACATGTGGATTGTAGTTCCTTCAGGTTTCTTCACCAGGTTGGCCTGCTTCTTTCTTCCTTCCTTGATTTATTTTATGTTTGTTTATTTTTTCAGAGCCAGTAATTGAACCAGGCCTTCGCACATGCCAGGCAAGCGCTCTAATAGGGCTACAATTCTGGCTTGCCCTACTTCTTAGACAGAAAAGATGATAAACTTTAAACAGTAGCACCCCTCCCCTGGACTGAATAGCAAGCAGGAGCCGTGGGAGCAGCAGTGGGCTGTCATTATGCTAGAAAGGGCCAGCTCTCAGAGCCAACGTCCCTATGCCCTCCCCACTCCCCACCATCAGCCTTGTGGTGGGCATTGCCTCCTTGTTCCACAGGTCAGGAAAAAGAGGCAAAGAGGAGCAATGGTCTATACAGTGCCACAGTCAGCTTTACTTAATCCCAGCCTAGTCCTGCCTCCCTGACCCCATGTCCTGAGAGTGACTCCCTCTGGGTATCAATGTGGTTTTCTTAGCCTGACAGTGGCTAAGACTCAAACAAGTCAGAGACAGAGTCTCTGCTAATGCCTTGAGTTTAGATGCATGGGGTGGGGTGAGTATTTGGGTTTTTGTTGTTGTTTTGTGGGTTTGGGTTGTTTCATTTATTTTTTGGCTTGCTTGCTTTGAATGAGATAACTCCCAGACTTTGCCATCCACTATTGAGTGTGTCCTTAATGGGCCTCCTGGGCCTGGGCCGCTTGTCCTTTTCCAGCAACTACAGTTTTCCTGCCTGCCTTGTCCTCAGCAGACCCTGAGGGGCAGCTGGCCCTCTACTCCCTGCTGAGGCCCACCTCAATCCTTGTCAAGACCAGAGCCTCAGAGGTCCAGTTTGAGGGCCTTGCTGAAGGGTCTCCACACACACACAGCCTGGGTTGGACTCCACTGGTGCCCTTCATGACAGAAGTTGCTGGGCTTTTTCTCCCAGCACTCAGTAGGCAGATGATGGAAGAGGGAGGGAGGGAGAGAAGGGGAGGGAGATGGATGGACCAAGGAGTCTCCCAGCTCCACCTGCCCCACTCTCCACTAAGGCCTCAGCTCTCCCTCAGGTCTCCAGAGCTGCTCAGAAACTCAAAGTTCACCACCAGGGTCAGGCCCACAGGTCTGTGTGGGGCCAACTGCAGTGACAGGCTATAGCAGAAACGGAAGGTCGGAAAATGGCCCTGTAGCCCTTCCATGTTGTCCTGTGATGCAGAAGATACTGGCTCCTGCTGGAACCTTCCACAGTACCAACATCTGGCCGGCTCTAACTATGCCATCCGGGGTTCTCCATTCCCCTTCTTCAGCTCTGGTGTCCAGGGTGACCAGAGCTGCCTCTGGGCAGGAAGCCAGCCCAGAAAGCCTAGGACATCCCTCAGCGACTGTCACCATGGCAACATGCCCGGTCTGCCTCCTCCCCCCAACCCAAGTCCAATACAATTTTTTTTTTTTTCTAAACTCAGGACGTCAAATGGGAAGGGCCTCTAGATCAGCCCATTCCAGCTCCTCCCCTAATTCCAAGTAGAGAAACTGAGGCCTGAGTAGGGAAGGGAGGGGGGAAAATCTGTTAAGGACCAGTCTCAATCTGTCCCTTTCTCCCTCCCTGCTCTCCCTGCTTTGGTGTCCTTGGGAGGTCTGAAGTCGGATCGCCCAGAGGGGGCCTCCCACCCCTACTCCCACCCCAACCCCACCACCCCCACCAGCACCCCAGCAGAGATGGCGCAGGTGGCGCCCCAGGAACCTGACACCCACGATGAATAAATGATGCGGGCTCAAACGCTGGTGACCAGAACTCACCGCCGCCGCCGCCACCACCATCACCAGTCGCCCGTGGCCAGGAGCCATCACCTGGCAGCCCTGTTCATCAACCCCTCGGCCCCCGCGACCCGCAGCCAGGCCCGCGGCGCTGGGCGGACATGGCTGGATGGCGGCGAGGCGTGGGGCGGCTCTGGGCTCTGGGCGGCGCCGTGCTGGGGGCTTGCCTGGCCCGGGTCGCAGCGCAGCTGGTGGAGGTGAGGCTCCGCATGGCGGAGGGCACTGGGTGCTGGCGCCGTCCAGGCAGGGGGCCGCGGAGAGGGGAGGGGGACTGGCCATAGCCTTTCTTCTTGTCTTGGGATGCATGACCTCACGGGGTGACACAGCCCCTTGCTCTTTGACTCTTAGGGTCCCTGGTCTGGTGGCAGGACACAACCTCTGACTGGTGGTGGAGACCCACCCTGACCTCAAGGATTCTCAGTCTGTTGGAGGGTGGGGCACAGCCTTGCCCTGTGTAATGAGGGGCACAGTCCTGTTACCCAGTCTTTGTTCTCCTGGGGTATGGGAGCATGCTTAGCCCTTGCCTTCCTTGACCTCTAGTGAAATGAGGGAGATTTGGACCTGAACTTAAGTATGCTGGAGGACCTGACCTCTGTCTGCACAGATTCTCCAGAGCCCCTGCCTAATGCAGGACTCAGGGAATGGGGGGATCCAACTGGGTTCTAGTGATATCCGGAGTTCTGGAAGGTTTCTGAGTAGAAGCATGGTGACTTGTTCAGGTTTAGAAGAATAAATGAGGACACAGAGTGGGAGAGTAGGAGGAGAGAGCCCAGTAACCAGCAGGTGAAGATGGGTGGGCCAAGCTGGCCAGAGCCTGTCTGGGTCCACTTGCAACTGCTCTGGTTCTCTGCTACATGTCCCTGGGACCTCCTGCCTTCTGGAGCTGAAGGCAGGATAGAGAAGTTTCAAGAGCCAAGGCCAGGGAGAAGTTGAGAGTGGAGCCTTGGCAGATAGGGCAAAATGGAGGCCTGAGGGGCAGCTGCCAAGGGACAGCCACACTCAGAGAGTTCTGAGGGGACCATATCCTTGAACTGGAGGGTCTGAGGAGGATATGGGGACATAGCTCTGTACTCCTGGGTAGTGTGTCCTTTCTGCTACTGACCAGGAAGGAGTGTGTTCAAGAGACTGATGGAGTCAAGTGTCAGTTCCAGTGCTCTGTAAGGGAAGCCAGGCTGGCTTGAGCCCCATGGAGCATATTTAAGCCTCTCACCAATTGCTCTGAGGCCCCTGTGCAGAAACTGAACTGGCCTGGGAGTAGTCCATAAGGCTAGGGAAATGGTCAAGTCAGCTTTGAGGCAAGGGTTTTCCCACTCCTAGGAATCCATCTTCTGGCTCAGCAAAGGAAATTTCATTTGGAGTTCATCTGCCTATAGGCCAACAAGGCCTAGTCTTCCCAGAGAAGCACTAGAAAGATGGACAGGGCTGGAATCCATGTCACCTCCGGCCCAAACACTGCGGTATCCCTTTCCTCTAGGCTATGGCTCTGAAGGAGGCAGGACTCCCAAACTATAGAATTCTCACCCCTAGCAGGGCCCACCAAGGAGATGTCTGGCTGGTTCCTGTTCCCCTCCACCCTAGAGCCAGGCTTGAGAGATAAGGCCCAGCTCTACCCACATCAAGGCTGGGGCAAGAGTGTGTACAAGAGTATGCTTAGCTGCCTTGGCTCAGATTCCAGGAACCTTATTCTAACCCTCAAGGTCTTCTAGTCATGCACCGAGCCCAACCAACACACTGTTCATGAGCCTGTGCTCCAGCTACAAATATACCCTCTACCCATATCCACATGCCATGTGCCTGCCTCCAAAGGGTTTTCTGATACATCCAGGGGATGATGCTGATAAGTGGCATGTTTTTGCCAGTTTTGTCATCAGGTTGGGTAAAGAGCTTCCAGAGACTCCTAAAACTACTCCACTCCAAATACAGGGAGCGAAACTGAGGTCCAGAGAAAAGAGCTAGGAGTCATGCACCAATCCAGGGCTCAGCATCTCTGGTTTGCCTATCATAGGCTGATGATCCCCTCTGAATGCCACTTGACCCCATAGGTGGCAGTTTTTAGGCAAGGAAGTATTTGGTTCTCAATAGGTGCCCATCCATGTTTATGGATCATGTATGATTGTCAGGGCAGGAGAGGGTTTGAGTAACAAGTGGCCTTTCCCAAGCAGCCCAAGGGATTCTTCAAGCCTGTCTTTGATGGGTCATTCAGGGGACAACGTATTATACGATGACTCCCTCTGAACACCCCCCCCACACACACACATACACTTTTGCCCCTCAGCCAAACTTGCTGACAGAGACAAGATCATATCCTTTTCTGGTCAGAACAGGTCTTGCACACATTCTACAGGGCATAGCCATGTCCCTTAGACACTCATGTCCCCTCAAAATACCCAGGGCAGGCTGAGAACGTAGCTCGGGTGGCAGAGTGCTTGTCCAGTACACACAAAGCCCTGGGTTCGATCTCCAGCACCGCATAAATCAGGTGAGGCGGCACATACCTGTAATCCCAGCACTCAAGGGATAGGAGCAGGAAGATGAAAAGTTGAAGGTCATCCTCAGTTACACAGGGAGTCAGAGGCCAACTTGGCTACGAGATACTAGCTCCAAAAAAGTTTTAAATTTAAATATAATAAAAACAAACAAAAAAACACAGAGAGATGGCTCAGTGGTTAATAGCCATTTGCTGTACTTGTAGAAGCCCTGGGCTCCATTCCCAACATTCATATGACAGCTCACAACTGTCTGTAACTCCAGCTCCAGGGGATATGACACTCTCTTCTGGCCTCCATGGACACCTGGCATGTACGTGGTATACATGCATACATGAAGGAAGAACACTTACACACATAAAATAAAAACAAATCAATCTTTAAAAACCCACCTAGGCCACACTGGGTCTTTAATCCCAGCACTCAGGAGGCAGAGGCAGGAAGATCTCTGTGAGTTCAAGGCCAGCCTAGTCTACATAGTGAGTTACAGGCCAGCTGGGGCTACAGGGAGACTCTGTCTCAAAAGACTCCCCCCAACCCCCCTTGCAAAAACCCCACCTAGAATAAGATTGTATCTCCTAAACACCCAGATTACTGGTATGTCCCTTCAAGACACCCAAGGTGGGGCCACACATGGCCCCTCATTCCCCTGGGTATGATCGTATTCTCTAGAAACTCAAGGCAAGATAACAGCCCTTTCATGCCCTGGAGAAGGACCATTTCCCCTTAGACCCAGGGCATTGCTGAGCCTGCTAGAAACCCAGGGTATAATGATGTCCCTAAGCCACACGCCCACCCCCTCCAACCCACCCTCCCTTTGGCTCAGGGTTGCTACAACTGCAGTTACACATTTGGCCACCTGGTGGCGCTGCATTACTATTTTTCTAGGCCTGTCCTGCCAGGACTCTGGCCTAGCCTTCTTGGTGGTGTGGCTATCAGTGAGGAAAGAGACTGTATGAGGTCACCTGTGTTAGGAAGGTCCTGGCCAGGTAGCCTAGCAGTAGATGAGATGAGAGATGAGGTGGGAGATTAGAGCAAAGCCAGTCTACAGGGGCAGCAAATGGGGCCAGTGAAACAGGCCTTATCTTTGTCTCTGGCCTTGGTCCTGAGACCCCATCTATGTGGGGCCCTGGACTGAAAGGCAGGAGCTGCCCAAGGGGTGCTGACCTAGGTGGGTCAGGCTGTCCACATTTGCCCCTCTGGGTCTTTATTTCCCCAAGTGCCAACTACTCTTCCAATCCAAGTCCCTGGTGCCATGATCTGTGACATTGATCGTTGCTTTTGCTCTAAATCTGGAACTTTCTGAGGTCTAGGATGTTGGTTGTGAATGCCTGAAACAGTTGGGGCTGGGAGATTCTAAAATGCGTGGGCTGAGTGTTGCTAACCCCATCTCAACCTTCTGGCCTCTGCCTGGTTCACTTATGCTCCTCTCTCTTCTGACCCATAGCCCAGCACCGCCCCGCCCAAGCCCAAGCCGCCCCCTCTGACCAAGGAGACGGTGGTGTTCTGGGATATGCGCCTGTGGCACGTGGTGGGCATCTTTTCACTCTTCGTGCTGTGCATCAGTGAGTAGCCACTCCCTACCCTCTCCACCTCACCACAGGAGGAGCATAGTGCCCCCAGAACCCTCAGCCCCTTCAGCACCACCCCTTGAGTTCATAGCAGCAATTCCGGGCAGTACAAGTAGGCCAGGCACCCACAGGAGGCCCGCCGTGGTTTCTGGCACCTCCTCACCCTCACAAAGTCCCTGTGGAAGACTGACGGGCCAGTGGTGACCCAAAGATTTCTGCTGGACCCAGGGAGGCAGCCACATGGCAATTATGGTAATTACAGGGGACTCCACCGAATCGAGGACATGTCATCTTTCCATATGGCTGGCCTCCTGATGGTTTTCTTGTAGTTTGGCCAGTTTAAAAAGTCCACACCCAGGGGCCCCAGCAAGGCCACCCTCCACCAGAGGCTCCCCAGACACCTAGCAGATGTGGCTCCCAGGCCTGGAACCCTGGCTCCTCAAAAGCCATTTTCCAGAAATGACTCACACTCACTTCCTTTCAAAGCAGGGGGCCTGTTCCTCTCCTGGGGTCTGGAGTCCTATTCCTGCAAAAAGGCAGCCAAGTGGGCTTGGTGTGCACCCTTCCACTGCCCCTCTCAATGTGGAGTTAAGGGAACAGAAAGATACATGAAAGGCAGGCCAGGTAGGAGAGAGTACCAGAGTACAGAGCAAGTGCAGAGTGGGTAGGTAATAAAGGGAAAGGAAAGCGATTGCACCTACAAAGGCCCACAGAGGAGGGAGCCTCTGAGTTGTAGACCAGAGGGAAGCAAGCTGGAAAGACTCCAGACAGAGGGACCAGAAGCTAAGAGGAAACCAGTCTCCACGTCAGGTCTCAGAGAAACCTGTGGGCCATTGCCAAAATGCACCCTGAAGGGGGCGGGCTGCTAAAATGACATTTAAATTCTAGTGGGAGCTTTCCCAGGAGATCCCCAGAGTGCTGGGTGGTCACAGTGAAACCATCCAGATGTGGAGGTCTCCTAGGATGACATCTGATTTGTACGTTCTTCTCTTCACACTTAATGTGACCTCCAGATAGAAAACACCCCCTTCCTCCCAGATCTAAGACTGTGTTGCCAGTTGAGGCCTAGAAAGAGTCAGGTAGCTTAGTGAAGGCCCCATAGAGAGATGTCTCCACAGCTGGAGCCCAGGGATCCTGAGGGAGATGACCCCTGGCACCAAGAGGCAAGGTTGGAAAGAACTGTCTCGAGAAGCCCAAGAGCAGCCAAGGGAGCAACTTTGGGGTATCCCAGAGGGTAGGGGGCAGGAACCTATCAGCATTGCCCAGACTCTGCTCCAGCCAAATAGTGGAGGTGCCTGGAGCTACATCAGAAATTTGCAGAGTCTGTCTCAAAGAGGTATTTTGGACATCAAGTGCCCAGAGCATCCCCTACCCCTAACCTAGTCTTCTAGAGGGGGAAAGGCTGGAACCAAAGGCCCCTGAACAGCAGGTCAGCACTGGTTACCTTCCATCTCACAGCTGCTCAGAGCAGGGGCTGGGAAAATCGCTTCTCTGCTTCCCAGAATGCTTAGGCTCAGGCAGCTGTTTCATGGAATATTATACCAAGAACCCCTCAGAGATAGTAGATGGGGCTGGATGAAGAGCCTCTGGGAGTCTCCTGCATCCCCTGGACTGGTATCCCAAGCCCTTGCCTGGCCTTGCAACTTGACTCAAAGCCCTTAGTTTTTCATTTTCTTTAGAGCAGCAGTGTGAGCCCTGCTCTGACTGCCAATAGCTGCCTGTTCAGCTTTTTCTGAAGCCCCGGCCTCCCAGGACATGGCACCAACCTGAATGGGACCTGAGCAGGCAGGGTCCTGAGGAATGTCCAGTGGGATGACTAGGAAAGGTGCTCAAGCCAGTGGAGTTGGAGAAGGAGGACAGCCTTGGGTCTCAAGCATGTGGGGGTCCGGGAAAGATCAGAGTAGAGCTCTTTGGATAAGAAAAGTCCACTGTTGACTCAGGCCTAACCGCAGAGGTATGATCAGAACCACAATTTGGGGCCCTAATATAGTAAGCCTTTGTCCCCTGGCATATGCGTGGATGCTGGTGGCTCCCCAATCTATTCAAATGTTCAGGAATCAAATCCTGTTCCCAGCAGTGGAGGCTTTTGGACCATTTTATCCATGCATCCATTCATCCATCAGCCATCCATCCTTCCATCCATCCATCCATCCACTGCTTCTCTGAATATCTATCTGGGTGAGACAAGTAAAAAATATTTAACTCAAGAGGCCTTGCCTTGAGTAAACAAGATGGCCCCATCCTACCTAGGTCTGATCCATTTCTCCAAAGTAGCCCTGACTTGTCATGCCTGGGCCCTTCTGCCCTTCAGTAGCCTGCCAGGAAGTTCTGTCTGGTCATTTGATTTATAGTAGGAATCAGCCTCATCCCCTCCCCTAGGGCTGGGGCCACAGTGGTCAGACTGTGGGGACCTAGAAAAATAAACTCAGCCTAGCCAGGTCCTGGCAGCTTCAACCTGCCCTTCCCATCACTAGACAGGCCAGGTCCAGGTTCTGGCTCAACTGGCGTGGGTGCAACTGCCCTTGGCCGGAAAACCACTCCAAGAATAACTCCTTTGAAGGCAAATGCTCCAGGACAGGGTCTGTGTCCTGTCACTGGTTCCTTCTCCAGCTAGAGGACCCAGGCTTGTTCTCAGATAGGCTGAGAACACAACTACATCCTCAGGTATCTGAGGCAGCTCTGGCTCTGCTCTCAGGAGATGGAGCAGGAATCCTAGGGTGTCCTGAAGTACCTAGGAACCTGGGTCAGAAGCACAGGATGGCTCTGGGAAGCCAAGGCTAGAGTCATACCTCAAACCTTTACTTTAACCTCCTCTGGTACTTAGTGTGATCAGAAAGACCCTCAGACCAGGACTGGCAATATAATTTATGGGTCCAGTACAAATGAAGATATCAGGCTTCATGTTCAGGTTACTAAGAATTTGACAGTAAAGCATTATGCTAAGCACAGGTCATATACAAGTGTATGAGGTCAGTTTCACTCAGGAGGTCACCTAGGAATTTTGTAGATGTTAAGCCTCCAGTCTGGCCAAAGTATCTTATGAGCGACATGCCTAAGTAAACGGGAAAACCTGATGTCTGGGTACTCCTAAGATGGCTGAGACCTACCCCAGCCAAACCCGCTCTGACATCCCTACAGTTATCATTCTGTGCTGTGTCTTCAACTGCCGTGTGCCACGGACACGGAAAGAGATCGAGGCTCGGTACCTACAGCGAAAGGCTGCCAAGATGTACACGGACAAGCTGGAGACTGTGCCTCCCCTTAATGAGCTCACAGAAATCCCTGGAGGTGAGTAGTTCCAGTTCCACCCTAGCCAGCACTGGACTCTGCGACTGGCTAGTTCCCCAGTCCTACTGTCCCAGTTCACCCTGTCCCTGCCCTCTACCTGTACACAGTCCAGAGAGGGGAAAGGGCCCTATCTCAGGAGACCCGAGCACAGAAACTGGTCAGAGCCAGGAAACTAAAATGGGAGTTTATTTTCTAGTAGAAAAAGCTTGTAGGGGCAGGGGAAGATGGCTCAGTCTATAAGATGTTTGGTGCCCAAACATGAGGACATTTTTGTATCCCCAGCACCCACATAAAAAAGCCAGGCATGATGGAACACACTTGCAACCCTAGCACTGGGGAGGTGGACAGAAGGATCCATGAATTTGCTGGCCCATTAATCTTGCTACAGTGTTCAGTAAGAGACCTTGTCTCAAAAAATAAATAAATAAATAAAATAAGATGGGTGGCTGGAGAGATGGCTCAGCAGTATTCACTGCTCCTCCAGAAGACCTCAGTTTGATTCCAGCACTAGAGTTGGGTGACTCACAGCTACCTGTAACTCCATCTTCTAGGAATCCAATGCCTCTGGCCTCTGCAGGTACTGCACTCACATGCACATATACAGACACACACATCCACATAATTAAAAATAAATCTGAAGAGATGGCTCAGCAGTTAAGAGCACTGGCTGCCCTCAAAGAGGACTCTGGTTCAGTTCCCAACACCCACATGTCAGCTAATAATCTTCTGTAACTCCAGTTCCAGGGAATACAATGCCCTTTTCTAACCTCTGCAGGCATTGCACACACAGGTGCACTTACATACATGCAGGCAATACACTCATACGCATAAAATAATAAAATTTTTTTTGGTCTTTTTGAGACAGGGTCTCCCTGTAGCCCCAGCTGTCCTGGAACTCACTATGTAGACCAGGCTGGCCTTGAACTCACAGAGATCCGCCTGCCTCTGCCTCCCAAGTGCTGGGACTACAGGCGTGCGCCTCCACGCCTGGCTAAATAAAATATTTTCTAAAAATTAAAAAACTGAAAAAATAAGATGGAGAGCAGTAGAAGACACCAGCCAACCTCTGGCTTCTAGACGCATGCCCACATTCACCCTCACATGTGTAAATACACAGACACAATACAGACACACACGTAGAGAAAAATCAAATAAAAAAGAAACACTTGAAAGATAGAAAGATGGAAAGGGCAGGGTGAGGGGGTCTGGCCCCTTGAGGTCACCAGGCCCTGAGCTGGTCTCACCTCTGTGGTTGACCTCTTCCCCTTATCCACAGAGGACAAGAAGAAGAAGAAGAAGAAGAAGGAGAGCGTGGACACAGTGGCCATCAAGGTAGAAGAGGATGAGAAGAATGAAGCAAAGAAGAAGAAAGGAGAGAAATGAGGAAAGAGGTGGCACATGGGGTGGGCAGGCCCTGAAGCCCAAGCTCAGCCCAGGATCCAGGCATCAGAACTCCGTGTTCATACATGGACCACAGAGGCTGTGGTCAGAGGCAATGCCAAGGTCATGGCCCTTTCCTCATGGCCCCAAATCGGCACTGACAAGACTTCCCAGGTATCCGGGCTTCTCAGGCTGGACTCTGACATCATCCATACAGGCACTTTCCTCGGGCCACTGTCCCTCTGCAGATGCAGAGTGGCCTTAAACTCCTCTCTCCTGTCTCACTCTTTCTACAGAGGTAGAGGTGGCTATGAAGGAATCAGGGATGGGAGGTGTCAGATGTCAGGACTGAATGGGTTGAGTGTGAGCCCATGAACTTGGAGAGGGGGCTAATGGGGGAACTTACAAAATGAGAGATTCTCTGACATAGCCAGACAGCAGCCCTAGTGGCAAGGAGATTGCCCCAAAGCTTGGCAGGTGGGGCCCCAGAAGCAGGAGAGTCTCTGACCCAGCAAATGACAAACTCTAAAAACAAGATCACAGTGTGATGGGGCTGGGGCTGCTGGGAAGCTGATGGGAGACTGGTGAGAGGCCCAGGGGCTAGAGGCTTCCAGCTCAGGGACGGGGGCTTGCAAGATACAGAGAACTGAAGCCAGTGGGTCGAGGGAGCAGGCCTGGGCCTCCACAAGGGAATCAAGAGATACTTTAGAAGCCAAGGGGCACCTCAGGCTGTTGTGGTGGTCTTTTCTATGGTTGGGGCTCTAGGGGCAAGAGACACAGTCAGCTTTCCACCTGCTAATATAGCAGCATACAACATCTGTCGTGTCCCCTACTCAAAGAAGCATCTCTTCCCAGAAGACAAGGACTCAAATGTCACTGGGTTGGGGGAGACCTGACTCTGTAGGGAAAAGGAACGCAGAGGGGATCCCAACATCAGACTCAGGTTCTCAGACCAGAGTTGTGGATGGAGAAGACAGCTGGAAAAACAGCCTGTGGAGATCCGTAAATAAAGCTGAGTGCCTCCTCAGTTCCTGGATATAAAACTGCCTCTTGAGATGACTCTTGTCCCTTGTCCCACCCCCAACACTTTATCAGTCTGCAAAGGATTCCAGGGAAGGTGACACAGCAATTAATAATAATAAGTGGACTGGACCAGCCTGAAGTTCTCTCCCTGACTCCTGTCCCAGCCTGAATTGAGGTGAGACAAAAACAAACAAAAGTAGCCTGGAGGCTGAAAGGCAGCTGCAGCTACCCCATCCCACCAGGCAGTCTTGGGAGAAGCTAATAAGGCCACCTTGAACTCTCCTCCCCTCTACCCATGCTCTCCATAGGCCTCCAATGGTTTGAGCCTGATACTGGGAACTCACAGGAGTCATCTGGCTCCTGATCTGGACCCGGATCATCATCCTTCTAGGAGCATGCCAGGCTCACATGATGAAGAGCACTGAGGGGACACAGACCACAGAAAGCCCTGTCATGGATTTAGATGCCTGATATCTTCCCTCAGGGTCCAGGGCTTCTTGGCAAAGGTCATTCTCCCCAGACAGGCCAAACCCCACCCTCACCCCCACCCCCACCCCCACCCCCATGGGACAAGGCAGTGGAAGTTCAGAGAGACATGGGCCACTCCAGCTCCTGCAGAGCAGAAGCTAGGGAAGCCTGGGGGGAGGTTGTCTGCCAGACCTCTGACCTGAAGTCTGCATTAACCCTTTATGGACTCGTGCACCTGAGTCTCCAGGTTAGAAGATAGAGTTAGGAGGTCAAAGTATTCTATGGATCTTTGGAGCAATATACTGGTACGTTCCAGCCACCAGCCACAAGGTAATCAAGACCAATGAGAGCCCAAGTCCCACTCAAGGCTTGCAAAAAAAAAAAAAACCCAAATCAGTCCACGTCTGGAGTCCCAGCAGCCTCAGCTTCAGCCTGGGTAGTACATTCTAGGCCATCATCTGACTCCCCATTGCCCCTTCACACCCCCTCCACTTTCTTAGGAGCACGCTAAACTTTGAAAGGCTTTACACTTTTTAGTATAAATACCCAGAGTCCCTTACCCACCCCCAATGGATATACCAGTTGCCTACTAGAGCAGACCCAGGAAGAAGACAACATAGGAAAAAGAAGTGTTTAATCTTTGCTAGTTTCTGCTGTGTAAGGGCCACAGAACAGCATTCAGAAGGAGGAGGAGAAGAAGAGACCTGGTACAGGGATGCACCAGGGACACAAGCAGTGTCACGGTGCAACCAGAAGGCTGAGGGGCAGAAGGAAAGCCAGGAGCAGGATCCTGGATGGGACCGGGATGGCCAGGGGCTCCCCACTGAGCTGATCCCAGATCCAAGGCTGGTAGGATGAAACTTGCAGGAAAATGAGTGGGGCCTCACTCTTCTTGCAGCCTGCACCCCAGCTCATCATTCCCGCCAGGTACCATGTGCCATGCGAAGAGCAGACCAGGGGCTCACCAGTTATCTCCTGTGAAGAGGGAGGAAGTAAAAAGGTTCAGGAAGGCCAAGCGAGGTCTGAGGGGGGGACATGACCCAGATCAAGGAGCCAGCCTAGGTGTTGACCACCAGGTCCTTACCATAGCTCCCCAGTGTAAATATAGCTGAGAGAGGCCCCTGTCCCAATGTACCCTCCTCAAAAAGTACTCCCCCTTCTACCTTACCTTCCTTCTTATGCCGCTCACCTCCATCCATCATCTCTATCCAATTCCCATCTCTCTTTCCAATCTCCACATCAAACCTGTGTCTTCATCTGCCCTCTCCCCTCCCCTTCCCCACTTATCTATTCCATCCCCCCTCTCCTCTCCATAGCCCTCAACTCTGCCTCTGGCAGCCCTCCACCTCTTGTCTGTGGGGTAAATGAGTAAGACTTGGAGGTGCTCACATAGCAGAATTGCTCCCTGTTGCCGTCTGAGGCACATATCATCTGAGAATTGATGATGCGAACCAGAGAGGGGATTTTGGAGAACCTGTGATAGAACTGCTCACACTTCTTGCTGTTCAGGATGGTGACTTCCTTCTCCTGAAGGGTCCGGAACTGTGGCCACATGCCTGTGGGACAGGTCCCCATGGGTTAGCCATTGGTTGCAGCTCCTCAACCTACGCCCTCACCAGCTCTCTCTCTACCTTCCTTACCTCTCCACCCTCCAGTCTCTTTTGTGTGCCCCATAGCAGCCATTGAGCTCCTTTAGCCAGCACCTCCCAAGGGTAACCTCATACAGAGGCACTAGAGTGGACATCCCACCTCAACCTCTTGGCTCTGTTAGTCCTTGCCCAAGTGCCTGCAAGGGCAAAGCCCTCATCTTTTTAAAGCCATCCCTAGGGGCCTCTTCCCTACCAAACTTCCTAAATCCACCCTCCACCACTATCCTCAATCCCACCTCCACTGTGTCTGAGCTCTTGGGAGACAGGAAACTTCTGACCATTTCTAGATAGGCCACAGAATGGGCTGTTTGGGGATAAATTGGCTCCTTAAGGACAGAGAGAAGGGCATCTTTCTCGCACATTGATAGCTCCCTAAAGCTGGACATTCCCAGAGACCATCAGAAAAATGATCCCCTTGGATGAGCATGAGAGGACATGCCTGTCTTGAGGGCCTTTGCTTCTGCATTGCAATGACAAGGGAATGAAGGCCACTGAAGGGAGGAGGGCCTTGAGTGACCCCCAACCTCCAGATACAGACGGCCTCCAAGTGGGGTCTTCTGGGGATCATTTTATAGACACAAGAACTCACTCTAGGGTTATATATGAATGACAAGGTATTGTTCTGAGAACTTCCTGCCTTCAGGAAAGTTCTGCTTACATATGCTGGCTTGATTCTGAGGCAATAATGGTCCCTGAGGGCCCAAGTGACCATAGCAGTTCACTGCTGAGACCCTCAAAGGGTCTTCAGAGATGAAGAACCAAGAGGAAGGTTCCTGGCCCCTTAAAGAAGATGCTCCATGAAGGTCCATCCTTGGGTCACTGAGGCTCACATCCAAATCCTCTCTCCCATTGTGCACCCGAGGGGGAAGGGGTCTCTGACTCACCATTAACCTTGGGATATCCCCAGCCTGTCACAGTGCAGAGAGAGCTGTCATCTACCACATACTCCAGGCCAGGCAGACAGATGGGCCACACATATTTGCTGTACTTGAGCCCTTGCTGGAGCTTGAGGAGGCAAATATCATTGGCCCGGCCAACCCAGGACCAGTACCGCCGGGGCTGATACTTGCGGTTTATGATGATCTCGAGCACTGGCATGTCGGAGCTAGTTATCGCCGTCTGGTTAATCCATGGACTCCCCACCCTTACTGTATAGTTAACATGCTGCCTAGGGGAACCATGAGGGGGTCTGCCATCAGCTCTAGGCTCCTGCCTCAGCCCCCACTCCACTGTGGCCCTCTGAGCAATTCCAGGCAGGCCACACCCCCTCCTCCTGTTCCTTATGATAGAGCCCTGCACACACACTTCGTGGTCCTTTCCATTTTACGGAGGAGGAAAACAGACTCAGAGAAGACCTGTGGCCTGCTGAGGGACGCACAGCTAGGAAGTGGTAGAGCCAGAATCTGAACTCTGTTTCCTCGAGTGAGACTCTGGGCTTTTACTATGTTGCACCATGACAGGTAACAGAGGGCCTGTATAATTATCCATGGCCTGGATTTCAAGCCACCATTCCTGGCCCCTGAAGTCATTATGTTGTCCCTTAGGCCAACATGGAATATGTCTCCACTGGTCAGTCCTTAAGGACAACACAGATGGACTGCCAGGTACTCTCGGGCCCTAGAACATCAATATACCCAGAGCCAGAAACCATTGATTGACAGGAGTAAGTGGGAGCAAAGGGGGTGGAGTGAAAGACCTCCTCTTCCAATAGAGAGAAGGCCTCTGAGCCTCTGTTCCCTATCTATGAAATGACTGCACAGGTCTGAAAGGCAGGGCAAAGGGCAAAGGGTGGGCACATGCCAAAGGCTGAGTCCCAGGAAGGAATCTATAAGACAAAACCCTCACCTGCTCAGAGTAAGGGTAAGGCTGGGACCAGGTCTGTGGGCTCTGCATAGGACATAATTGCTACCAATAAATAGGTCATCTGGAAAGGTGACTGGGCCCCTAGCACTCCAAATGCCTTTCCACCCACCCCTCTTGGGCCCCAACTCACTGGGTCAGGCAGTGGGCCACAGTCAGCACCCACTGGGAGGCAATAAGGGTTCCAGCACAGATGTGTGTGCCATTAGCCTGCACACTGACCATCCATGGCCACCGCCGAGTCATGGCCTCTGGATCCCTGAGGGTAGGGTCTGACTCATGAGAGAAGCCGCAGGCTAAGGAGGAAGGAAGGAGTTTGATGAGGGTGGGCTTACCCAGCTGCATCTTGTGACCCTGTCCCCACCCTTACCCCTACCACCAGCCTGTCCAGCACTGACCTCTGTCCACCCTGCTCCTCCTTTTTTGTTTGTCACTATGGAATGATGGCACTCATATGTGGACATCTCCAGCTGCAGAGGAGCCTCAGCACTGCCCAGGTACCCCTCTCCCTGTTCCCACAGCTTGGGCTCTAGAGCACCCCAATAATCAGCCTAGTGTACCCCTCAGCTCCAGCCAGACCCTTCACAAACTAGTCCATATGTCCATCTGCTTCAACCTTCACTGTGTCCTCCACTTCAGCCAAGGTGGACCCCACTCTGTTCTCTGGGAATCCACTCTTACGATTCATGGAGAGAGAGACAGATGACCCAGCAATAAAGCAGGCCATGTGTGGGAACAGGCATATCCCAAGGAGGGAAGGGAAGCTACAAATGCCACAGAAGTCGCTCAGCCTCTTTGGGGGATCAGGAATATACAGACTTAAGCTACATCACACACCTTCCTGCCAAAAGCTAAGTGTCTGTGATATCAAGTGTCCATGAGAATTCTAGCCAGAATGCTCACTCCTGAAGGTGAGAGTGCCACCAACTGCAGCTACTTTAAGAAGATGCCAATATCCAGCTTCCTGGGTAGGTCCACACAAGTGTTTCCTAACAAATCAATAGACTGTGAAATTAAGAAAGTGAGCATGCCCAGCTGCTTGCTTATTTATTTATTTATTTATTTATTTATTTATTTATTTATTTATTTTTATTTAATTGTGCTTGGGATGGAACTCAGGGCCTGGTGCACGATCTACCTTACCTACAATGTGTGTGTGTGTGTGTGTGTGTGTGTGTGTGTGTGTGTGTGTGTGTGCGCGCGCGCGCATGTGTGTGTGCGCGCGCAATCGTGTGCTCATGCAGAGACCAGAGGAGGATTTGGGGTATCCTGCTCCATTGCGCTCCACTTTATTCCCTTGAGACAGGGCCTTTCACTAAATCTGTAGCTAGCCTGGCAACCAGCAAGGCCCAATAATCCTCCTGTCTCTGTCCCACCCCACAGAGAACCACAGCACTGCAGTGCCAGAGTTACAGGCACATGGGACTATGCCTGGCTTTTCATATATGTTCTGGAGATTTGAACTCAGGTCCTCATGCTTGAGTGGCAAGAGCTCTTACCCACTCAGCCATCTCCCCAGCCTACCGCAACAGTGTTTTAAGAAACATTTTTAGGATTTCTTTTTATTGTATGTGTGTTTGCCTGCACATGTGAACTTAGTGCCTGAGAAGGCCAGGAGAGGGCATCAGATTCTCTGGGACTGGAGTTACAGACAGTTGTGAGTCATCATATGGGTTGTGGGAACTGAACCCAGATCCCCTGAAAGAGCAACAAGTGCTCTTAATCGCTGAGCCATTGCTTCAGCCCCTGAATACCTTTTAAGAATTCTGTGGGGGGAGGTGGGGCTGGAGAGATGGCTCAGTGGTTAAGAGCACTTACTGCTTTTCCACAGGACCCACGTTTGGTTCCCAGCACCCACAGGGTGGCTAACAACTATCTGTAACTCCAGTTCCAGGGGATCTGATGCCCTCTTCTGATCTCTGCAGGCACTAGGGGCCCACATGGTGCACTTACATGCATGCAGGCAGTACACTCACACACATAAAATAAAAAAATTTAAAGATATTCAGAGCTGGATGTGGTGGCATACACCTTTAATCCCAGCACTGTGGATCTCTGTGAGTTTGAGGTCAGCCTGTTCTACATAGTGAGTTCAAAGCTAGCCAGGGCTACATAGTGAGACCCTGTCTCAAACAAAAAGATATTCAGCTAAGAGACAACCAGCATGCACATGCACTACTGCATGGTCCTCTGGGAGACTTTCTGAGGCGGTTAAAGAAAATGCACCAAATCCAGGGATAATAACTGTTTCCCACATGGGTCTTGGATACAGACCACTGCTTAAATGAAGGTATACAGGTGTACCCTGGAGACATCACAGGAAGGCTCACAAAGCTGTGTGTGTAGGAGGAAGGTTCTGGACTGGGACCCTGGTCCAGAGTGGACCAGGTCAAGGGCAGGCCTGCTGACGGCATGCAGCTGAGCAACAGTCACCTGAAAGATGCCAGCTCTGGGCACCCCCTCTGCCCTCCTGGCTCTGGCTTTCCTGGTTCTCTATCTACCTCAAAAGCATGGAAGGCCTGTGAGTACAAGACCCCTAGTCTGACCCTGCCAAGGCGGGACCAAGCCCACAGTCCAAACATCTGTACAAGGACGGTCCCATCCCTCTCCACTCCTCCCAGGGGCTTGCTCCCTTGGTCTTTCTACCCCCACCCCACTCCACTCCCCGGGACCACAACTCAAGACCACTCCCCACCCCCGCCCAGCAGACGGCGGGCGACAACTCAAGACCACCCCCCACCCCCCGCCCAACAGACGGCGGGTGCTCACAGAGGACTTTGCTGGACTTGGTAGACGTCCCTGGGGTCGACATCTGTGCAGCTGTGCTCTTCGAAGTGCTGGCCTGCCTGGGGAGGCGAGGCCTGCCTGAGGGACAGGTGGCTCTGGGGGCACAGGAGACTCCGGGGACTTCCGGCGTTGACAGCACCCCCCGGGCTTCGCCTGCAGCCAAGTAGCCTGAGGGAGGTCACAAGGGGTCAGAGGCGCCCAGGCGGGGCCGGTCGGGGAGGGGCGGACGCGGCTCACCTGCCGGCAGACGAGGCAGGAGCAGCAGCAGCAGCAGCAGCACCAGCAGGAGGACAGTGAGGGTGCGGACGCGCGAGGACCCCGCGGGACGGGGGCCCTGCCCACGGGCTCGGGCCCTGCAGCAGCGTTCCATGGTGCCCCTGGGCTTCTCCTTGATGGCGCCCCGCATCGGTCGCCTGGGGCGGCTCTGGTGCCCAGCCCGCAGTGGCGCCTCCTAGCGGCCATTCGCGGACTGCTCCTGCCGTGTGGCGGGCAGGCAGGCCGGCGAGCATCACTAGGGCTCTCAGCCGGGGTCTGCCAGTCCCGTGGGCCCTTTCTTTCTCTCTAGCTTGAAGCACTTGCTGAGAGTCTCTGCCTCACCTCAGCAAGTGCCCAGGCCTCTCCTCACTGTCACCATCACCACCAGCAGCACCAAGAGGAAGACCAAACCCCACCCACCAATTCCTACTCCCCCCTGCGGACATCCATACCTTCCCCTGCTGACAGCCTTTGCTCCAAGGCACTGAAATTACGCAAATTAAGGTGTTGATTGGGGTCGGAAAGAGCACTGAGACAGGGTGGCAACCCTCCCGCCTCAGCCTTCCTAGTGCTGGGATGATAGAAGTGAGCCACCAAGCTCAGCTTCAAAAATGGTTCTTTAGAAATTTTTATTTGTGTGTGTGTGTGTGTGTGTGTGTGTGTGTGTGTGCACGCATGAGTGTTTGGTCTTCATGAAATAAGTGCACCATGTGTGTGCAATGCCAGAGGAGACCAGAGAGGGTGTGGCATCCCCTGGAACTGGAGTTATGGACAGTTGTAAGCCACCATTTGGATCCTCTGGAAGAGCAGCCAGGGCTCTTATCCTCTGAGACATCTCTCTGGCCCCTCAGCAATGGTTCCTAAAGGCTACAGCACTTTAAGCAACAATCTCTTCTCTGTTCCACCATGCCCTTGCTTTCTAGGTCTATTTGCAAAAGAAAGGTGGCTCAGGTAAAGTGTCACCCCTCCACAGAGGAGGAGTGATGGTATCCATCAGGCCACGGTAAAAGCAAGAAGTCACTGTGTTTGGCATTTGGTGAACATTCAAGGTGATCAGTGACATAGATGGCTAACACATTTAAAGAGGAGTCTAAGGGAATATACTAGAAGCTTTTGTGCTAGGATTTTGGAAACTTACAGCCTAATAAAAGACAAGTGAAAGTTGAATCAAGCCAAGACATTTCTCAGGAGAGATGCCTGAGCTGGTAATTTATGTACAAATCCCTGAAAGAACAAACTGCCTACTGCCTTTCTGATGCCCTGGGGGTGGGGGCTGGTGCTCTGAACCCCAGATTAACCAGGGCTAAAGGTCACTGATGGGGTTCATGAAGCAGCCCAGGAGCCCAGGGTACAGTCACTTCATACACATCCAAGCAGGCAGGCACCTGCCCCTGCATGAAAGGGAGAAGGAGCTGGGATCTGCAGACCCTCAGGGGTAGATGAAGGGGTTCCAGAAAACGGTTCATAGAGGCAAGTCTGTGATCCAGCCATTGAAAGTTTCTCAGAAGGAAGCCAGTCCTTACAGGAAGGCCCGAGGAAAAACTTTCCTCAGAGACCCAGAGGAGGGCGTTGGACCATGGGGCATGCTGGATTGCTGGGAACAATCCAGAACAGGGGCTTCAAGTCCCAATTAGCAAAAAGGGAGACTATAGCCAAAAAAAGGATCAATCTCCCAAGATCACACAACAAGCCTATGACAGAAACAAGCTAAGATTGTCAGAGTAGGCTCTGCTTGTGAGAATAGCTAGGTTTGGTGAAGGTAAGGGAGGTAGGTCTAAAGGGCTCTGGCCAAAGTCAAGAACATGACAACTTCAGTAGCTCAAAGTTTGAGAGCATCTTCATTGAATAACTAGGGAACAAAACCCACAGTGGGTCTAGGACCCTCCCCCAAAGTCCCTCTATCCTGATGTCCTGTGATGCCAGCAGTGTCCACTTCTGGGATGGAGCAGAGAGGAGGGAGAAGCAGACTCCGGGAGGGACCATTGTAGAAACACAGCTCACAGGAACCACAGGGAGCCCAAAGATACCAGCAGAATGTAGCCAGTGAAGATGACTGGGCTCAGGTAGGAAGGGACAGCCATACTGGAAAACCTCAAGTCGGAGATCTGCCTCTTGATCCACTGGGTGTAGTGGGAGGTGCTGGTGTAGATGCTCGGGAACCTGCGACGGCCACAACCAAAGTTCCAGCTCACCACCCCCATCTGGATCCATGTCTTGTTCACCTGACAGACAAGGGAGCTGCCAGAGGTATCCTGCAGGGGAGAGGAAGGGAGGCCTCAGGAGGCAGCATTATGAACTGGATTAGGCCTTTATTAGCCCCAAGAATGAAACTTGCCTATGAACCTGTTCCGTGATGCAGAAACTCTGTACCAGGGTTCAAGCTTGGGACCATGCTGGCCTCTTTCTTCATTATTCTGCCAGCTCTCTGACCAGTATGCCCTCTTTAAACCCCAGTGGGCCTCCAAGGCACAATTATCGATCTTCCTTCCTACAGTCTCCCTTACCGAAGGTGCGCTTAGAAATGCAAACCAATTCCCCTCATTTTGTGCACAGATATATGTACAAGAATAACATTTACAATGACATACAGAAGATAATAGTGGGTTCCTTATGTTTTTTAAATTTTCTCTTATGGAATTGCATTTGTCACCTAATGGTAGAGCACTAACCTTGCATGTATGGAAACTTGGTTTCTATCTCCAGCATAGGAAAAAGAGAGAGAGAGAGGAAAAAAACTTCACATTCCTCTGTAATGTTCAAAATTTTTATGAACCAGGAGAATGGCTCACTATATTATTTTTTATGTTTGGGTTTTGTTGTTGTTGTTGTTGTTGTTTTTATTTTTTGAGAGGTCTCCCTATGGCCCCATGTGGCCTGGAACTCCACTATGTAGACTAGGCTGGCCTTACTCTCACAGAGCTCCACCTGCCTCTGCTTCCTGAATTCTGGGATTAAAAGCGTGCACCACCACCATACGCAACCACTATATTATTTTTTAATATGATGCAAAAGGATTCACAGGACATGATCTACTGAAAAGCACATAAAAAAACTTAAGGAAAATAATCATAAAGCTGTGCTTAAGAACATAAAAGAAGACCTACATTAGTGTACAGAAACACTACTAGGCACAGATGAACAACTTTCAACTGTGTACAAAAGTCAGTTCTCAACCATTGGCTTCCAACAGTATGAAAAACAAGAAACCCTAAACAACCTTCTTATGAGATTTTCTTTTAAATAGCATCTTAAGTGCATGCATGACCTGGCAGGAAAGTAAGGACGCCTTAGAGCCTGAAACCTGAATGGAAACTGGAACCCAAAAAGTCAGGAGAGCCCAGAAACCTTTTCCCCAAGGCCTGCCCCAAGCCCTGGTGCGAGTGAGCTTAAGGTTCACAGTCTTGTTCATGAATGCAGGAGATACAACTCAGAGCAGGCCTTGCCATCTCCAGTTGAAAACTCTAAAGGAGGGCTGGTAAATAACAATCTGGAAAAGGCAGAGAATATTGGAAGCATCCAGCTGGAGGCAGATTTGACCAAGCAGACAGATAAATTCCAAAGCTTATGATATCATCAGGGTGGGGCAATGGAGAGCCCATGTGTATGAGGGACTTGGCCTCTGTCACTTGAGAGCATGAAGCCCACAGGTAAGCAGGATTCTCAGTAGAGCATGAAAACACTGGTTCAGAAGATGGGCAAAAATGAAGTTGGATCCTAGCATACTATACTCTGGGTTTAGGAGAATTCTACATGTGAAGTGAAAAAGAAAACTAATTAAAAATATATAGAACTTTATGTCTTGAATGAAACATGTTTTTTGTTTGTTTGTTTGAAGCACATGTTTTAAAAAGAAGCTTCAGGGCTAGAAAGATGGGTCAGTGGTTAAGAGCACTGGCTGCTCTTGCAGAGGTCCTGGGTTCTGTTCCCAGCACCCACAAGGAGGCTAACAACTATCTGTAACTCCAGTTCCAGGGGATCCAACACCCTCTTCTGACCTCTGAGGACATTGCACGACATGGGTGCACTTACTCAAATGCAGGCAATACACTCATACACATAAAATAAAAATAATAAAATATTTTTTAAATTTTTTAAATAAATAAAAAGAAGCTTCAAAATCCACAAACCTGTAGAGGGGAAATATATTCTTCTTAATAACATCAAAATGAAGGCTACCTTGGCAGTGAAGAACACCAAATACTGTTGAAAATAGATGATGGATTAAGATGGAGCATTTGGGGACAGGGATGTAGTTCAGTTGGCTGAGTGCTTGCCTAGCGTGTTTGAAGACCCAGGTTAGATTCCCAACACCATATAAAGAGGACACGGTGGCATAGTCCTACAATCCCAGCCCTCAGGAAGTAGAGGTAGGAGGACCAGAAGTTCAAGGTCATTCTAAAATACACAGAAAGTTCAATTGAGGCTAGGCTAGACCCCAGGAAAATCTGTCTCAAACAAACAAACAAATGAACACAAACCACAAAGATTAAAAAAATAAAAACAAGGTTATAGGAGGGCATGCGTGTCACATTATTTACATAAAATAAAATATATAGCAACATGAGACAGGCAAGATGGCTCAGTAGGTAAAGAAACTTACTGCCAAGACTGATGATCCGACTTTGATTCCTGGAACTCACATGGTAGAAGAGAATCAATTCCCACAAGTTGTCCTTTGACCTCCATGCTTACACTATAGCACACACACGTGCATATACATGCACACATAAATAAATCAGTGTTAAAAAGAATTTCAAAATATATTGCCACACTAAGTATTTTTCAAAAATATGAACATTTTATATGATGCATATTATTGAATAGATTTGAGTACAAAGATGCATTTGACAGGAAGTTAAAGGAGAAAATCAGGCCTGTGCTAATCAAGCCAGCAATGATAATGTGAGGGCCCTTGCTAGAGGCCCAGAGAAATACAGAGTGTGCAGAAAGAGGATAGAAGAGCAACAGACAGACAGCCATTATATGTGGACATTCTCTTTCCACAGGTAAATAAAGCCAAAAGTCAGTAGCAAACTATGAACCACCCCATTAAGGGAAAACAAAAACTTTCAAAAATGTTAAGATGAAAACAGAATTAAAATCTACAATTAAAATGTAGAATACAAGAATGTCATAGATTGTGGGGCTGGAGAGGTGGCTCAGCAGTTAAGAGCACTGACTGCTCTTGTAGAGGACCTGGGTTTGATTACTAGCACCCACATGGCAGCTATGAACTGTCCTTAACTCCAGTTCCAGGGGAATCCGAAGCCCTCTCTGACCTCTGCAGCATTGCACGACACAGGTGCACTCACATACATGCAGGCGATACAAGCCCACAGGATGTGGCCCAAACTGCACGGATTTTAGTTCTGGTCTAAAATACTTTTAGTATCAAACAAAAGAGAATGAAGATGAATTATTCATTGTTGATCAATTATTTATCACTGAACATGAGGCTCAAAATACTTTTTTTTTTTTTGGTGTTTTTGAGACAGCATCTCTCTGTAGCCCCAGCTGGCCTGGAACTCACTATGTAGACCAGGCTGGCCTCAAACTCACAGAGATCTGCCTGCCTCTGCCTCCCGAGTATTAAAGGCCTGTGTCACCACGCCTGGCAAGGCTCAAAATACTTTAAAAGGAATTAATAAGCATAAAAATTCATACATTAGAAAGCAGAGAAATCATTGACTTGGGAAATGAGGCCAAGAGCCTGCTCTTTAAAAAATATATAAGCACCATGTAAATCTTGAGGAGGGGGAAGAGGCAAATGCCTTGTGGTTTGAGTATGACTAGAGATGAGACTTGTACCCAGGTAAAAATGTACTTTCTCAGAATTTTAAGTCTGTTTACAACTTCTATTTTGTAGATTTAAATTCTGATTGAAGTGAATAATTTCTTAGAAAACGCAAATGATTTAAGTTAATTTAAAGAGTGATAGGAGGATCAGTGAGACGGCTGAGTGGGTAAAAGAGCTTGTAGACAAGCCTGAGGGCTTTAAGTTCAATCCCTGGGATCCACATAGTACAAGGAGGAAAATGACTCCCACAAGTTGTCCTCTGACTTCCACACATGCACATGGAACCCACACAGACACATACATATACACAAATAAATAAATAAATGTAATAAAAATTAAAAATGAAAGAGTGATAGGAAACCTGACTAGTCCAATAACTATGTGCAAAACAAGTTAAAATAGTGCCCAGAACAATCCTTCAAAGGAAAACATGTCTGTGGTTTCATAGGCAACTTCTATCCAGTTTTCAAGGAGGAGGTAACTATTACTTCAAATGTTCCAGAACATGGAGAAATATTTTTCAAGTGAAGCATCTGTAGTCCTGATTCTAGCACTTAACAAATGGACCAACTCCCTCTAAACATCTTAATGTGGAGTCCAGCTTCACTGGGGGAAAAAAGGCTACATGATTTATTCTGTATAGACTAATATGGAGGACTGCTTGTTCCCTGAAGCTAGGGCCTTTCCTGGGCCTGATGCTACCCCAGGACCCAGCACACAGTGCTTGCTAGATGTAAATAAATTAAACCCAAGTAGCTATTTTCCTAGGATGTTGGGAAATCTGGGTGATCTTATCAAGTGCAATGCTAATTAAGTAACTTAAAGCTAGAAGTTGCAATGACCCTTCACTGAGACTTGCAAGTATGCATTTCATGCTGCCTTGCAGCAGTAATGTGTTTATGCATCCATTTCTTTGCACAGACCTTCTGTCAAGTATAAAAACTACTTTTTTAATGACATTGGCATATAAACATTTATTCCAATATATTTCTTTTTATTTGTAAAAATATGTTTTCACATAAAGAACTCTGTTGTGTCCTAGAGAAGTTCTGTCTTTTAAATTCAGAAGTCAGGACTCTAAGGGAAAAATTAATCAAAAAACATAAATCTGGGGGATGGAGATACGGCTCAGCAGTTAAGAGCACTGGCTGATTTTGCAGAGGACCTGGGTTGGGTTCCTAGCACCCACATGGCAGCTGACAACTGTCTGTAACCCCAGTTCCAGGGGATCCAAAACTGTCTTCTGACTACCAGGGCCATTGCACATAGGTAGTGCACTTATGTACATGAAGGCAAAACACTCATACACATAAAATAAAAATGAAATTTAAATAAATAAAAAATAAAAACACATGAATGGGGTAGGTTGGAGAGATGTGTCAGCAGCTAAAAGCACTTTTTACTCTTCCAGATGACCTGTTTGGTTGCACCCACACTCGGTGGCTCATAACTGTCTGTAGCTCTAGCTCCAGGAGATTCAACACCCTCTTCTGGCATCCAGGAGCACCAGCATGCATATGCACACTCACACACAGAGTCACACACATACACATAAATAAAAATAAATCTTTCCAACGGATGAATGAAACAAAAGTGTACCTTGACTATCCTAGCTTCATTTCTGTTGCTGTGATAAATACACTGACCCAAAGCAACTAAGGAGAGGAAAGGGATTTATTGGGATCACAACTGAGGTTACAGTCCATTATCTTAAGGAAATCACAGAGGTAAGAGCTTGAAATAGCTGGTCACATCGTATCCACAGATGAGAGCGTAGAGAAGTAAATGTACCCATGCTACCTGCTTGCTGCTGCTGTGATCAGCCAGCTTTCTGATTCAGTCCAGGATCACCTGTTCAGGGAATAGTGCCACTCACAGTGGACTGGGTTTTCCCATGTCAATCAACAATCAAGACAATCCCTCACTGACAAGCCCACAGGCCAACTGATTTAATAATTTCTCCTTAAGACTCTCTTCACAGGCTTGGAGAGGTTGCTCAGTGGTTAGAGCCCTGGCTGCTCTTTCAGAGGACCCAGTTTTGGTTCCCAGCAAGTCCTCTATAAGAGCAGCCAGTGCTCTTAACTGCTGAGCAATCTCTCCAGCTTTTTAAAAATAACTTTTGTGTGGGAGTAGGTGTGTGTGTGGCGGGGAGACCAGAGGTCAACCTTAGTTAGCAATACTCAGCTCACCAGGCTTGCACCACAGTCACCTTTACCCACTGAGGCATCTCACTGATCCACAAAATGTATATTAAAACAGGGCAATGGGGCCAGCAAGATGGCTCAGTGAGAAAAGGCACCTGCTGCCAAAACTAACGACCTAAGTTTGATTCCTGGGACACACACATTGGAAAGAGAGAAACAACTCCTAAAAGTTATTCTCTGATCTGCACATGCACAGTTGTGGCACACACAAGCACACACACATCACTTAATTAATTAAAATAGAGCAGTGACGATGGGATCACAACTGTACAAAATTGAAGAGCTTAATTAAACGTTCAAGTCAAAGGGAATCACATGATTTTTAAGTGCTTTGAACACAAAATGAGAAAGAACAAACCTTTCTGCTCAAGAAAAGATAAAAACAACTACATCAAGACCCCAAAAGCAGACAAACCAATAAAAATAAAAAACAATGAAATAAGCATTAAAAATATAACCAGGAGGGGCTAGAGAGATGACTCAGCTGTTAAGAGCACTGGCTGCTCTTGCAGAGGACCTGGGTTCGATTCCCAGCACCCATATGGAGGCTAACAACTATCTGTAACTCCAGTTCCGGAGGATCTGACACCCTCTTCTGACTTCCATGGGCATTGCACAACACAGGTGCACT